AATGTCATCGTGTTCAGCTTTTACCCTGTCGTCGTAGCCGTGGCTCGCTGCACATCTCCATTCAACGTTGAAAATGGAACGCCTCCCCAGTGGGAAGGGACATTGCCCGTGGGGAAAGCTGGCACACTTTGTGCAGGGAAGGACCAGGTCTCTGTGAGATCCCTGCATGCCGACACTACTAGGGACGGGTTTCTTCGCTGGAGGGATGTGGATGTTTCACCACCGCCAGAGAAAAGCAACAGGTGTTGCTGGTATCGCGGCCTCGCCTTCAACCTTTCCTCCTCCCGCTACTTGTCTTTTTCTTCATTCTTCGCGTGTATGGGCGGGGTTGCTTGAAGTTCTTGACTTTTTGTTCACCAACGCTCCGATATCGTCGTGCTACTGGTAGTCGGTGTGAAAACGCACACAGGCGCTTGGAGCGAACCCTGGCCAGGACCATCCCAAGTTGGTTACGATTCCCCCACTCACACGCAGCGTGTTGGGGGAGGAAGTGGGCATCGCTGGGCTCGTGGCCATCGTGAAGAGGAAGCGCAAACACGTTTTCACCCCCTCCTTCTCACCGCAACTACTCCTTATAAGGTCAGAGGGGCGCCCTGAATGAGAAAAAGGCCGTCTCTGACCCAGTTGGCTGTCTATCTGCGGCAGCCTTTTTGCAACTTCTGACACGAGAAGACACAGAGAAGCAGCCCCCTCTCCGCCGCCTCATTGGATTCCATCGAGTCAGTCGGGGGCGTAGACTTTGTCCTCACACCAACGCAGCGCCAAATACTACGAAAGAGGGAAGAGAGAAGGAGGGGAGAAAAAAGAAAGAAGGAGCACAGCGGGCCTCTCTCAGGCTGCACTACCCAAGGAACTGCGCGGCCTTTGTCATTTGACAAAAGGGACGAAACCAAGGAGGGAAATTCACGCTCGAGGTATTCATCGAGAATCGACGGCCATTTGGTTGTGTTTCTGCATCTGCAGGGTTGCCCTCTGCTCGGCCGGGCCTGCAGACCCTCTTCCAACGTCGCACATCCACAGACGGGCCGTTTACGGTGCGTCCGCCTGCCTCGCGAGCATCCCGGCGAGCCGAATCCCCCAGTCCCAATTCCCAGGTGCAGGCGCCGCCCAACCGGGCTCGACAGGACACCAGGACAAGCGAAGGGCGAAGCGAGACGAACGCGAGTGACGAGTTGAGCGCCATTCGTCATCAATCAGCAGTGCACTCGCTCCCTGGTCGGGGACAAGAAGAGCGCGGGCCAACTTTTTCCCCCCTGGTGGTCATTATTCTTGAGCTGACGTCTAGGCGATCACGATAGCGCCAGGTCGACCAGTACCAAGACAACAGCAGGACGCCAGGACGGGCGTGGGCGACGACAAGCGTCAAAGGCAAACCGGCACCGTGTCTGGTCGGCGAGCTTCTGCTGGAGGGAGAGCAGGTGGAGGTGGTAGAGGAGGGGCGGCCCGTCGACGCAGTAGCAGTGAGAAAATGGGCAAGCTGGGCCCATCCTCACTAGGGTACGCGCTGTGTTCGGGGGGCTTGCTGTTGGCCGTTTTGGTGAGTGAGCCTCTCTTTTCCCCTGTCTCTTTGCCTCTCTCGCTCTTCCATTTCCACGCGTCTCTACCTCTGCGCCCTTCATTCCTCGTGTCCCCTGGTGCACAAGCACAATCCCATGCGACCCGGCCCAGGTCGTCTCGTCGGACTCGCTGCCCTGCCACGTTTTGTCGCATGCAGCTTGATGGGACGAGAGAGGAGCGCGCTATCCACTCAGAGGGTGGCCCGTGAGCATGGTATGATGTTTGGAATCGGCGAAATCTGGAGTGTGTCCGGAGTTAATCCTCAGACAACTGGACGGACCCATGTCCAATGACGTTTGGCGCCCCGATTTCTGCGTTTGTTCGAGTTCCCCGCAGACAGCTCGCGCGCCGCATTGCTATGCTGCTGGCGACTTGCCCTGAACGCACGCAGCAATTGGCGAAGCAAAACAGGCGGCTGGCCGACGCTGCCTGGTGCACGCACGCACACATCCACCTTGGGTAACGCGGCGGCGGGAAGGAGCTGGGAGCTAAGGCAGAGCTGGCGCTGGCGCTGCATTTTGCTTGCACCAAACTACCCAGACCGGAGCTCCCTGGACTCTGGGCTGGGCTGGACTGGGGAGCTGCACCTGACTGGGATGTTGCGATCAAAGCCCGCATATACCTCTTGCCTACCTACCTCTAGGTAGTACTTACCTACCTTACTTACCTCTAGGTACGTAGGTAGGTAGGTACCTTGCCTTGCCTTGGGTCCCGCCTCTCTTGTCTCGTCTTGGCTTGAACTATCTCCCTCTCTGCCTCCGCGCTTCTTTCTGTCACCTCGTCCTCGTGCCCTCCTCTCCTCTCTTCCTTCCTCACCTTCCTCGCCGTCCTCACTTCGTCGCTTCGTCTCCAACCATCCCACACGCCTCTGCCATCAGATCATGAACTGATTTCTGCCCGTGCCTAGCTCGCCCAGCTTCTCCTCGGCGACGCCAAGCTCCCGCTCCCGCTCCAGCTCCATCCGTCCCTCTTCTTGCCCTCCCACCAGCTTCCCTTCTTCCTGCGACCTCTCTTCTCCCCCGCCATCGAAATCTACCCCAATCTCGAACCCGTCTGCGAGAATCCAGCGCCATTTCCCACCCTGCCACCCACCTCACGACCACTCACCATGGCCCTCGAAGCGGAAACGATGCGCCTCGTGTCGCAGTTTGACTTTACCGACGACCATGTCAACAAGGCCGTCAAGGAGTTCCTCTCCCAGATGCGTACGTATAGTGCCCGCCCATCTCACTTGCCTCGAGCCGTGTACATCATGCCACGCAGCTTACCCCTCCTCCACCTCCATCGTCGTGACCCAATTGAGCTGACCCGTCACCAGAGGAGGGCCTCGGTAAGGATGGCACCAGCATGAGCCAGATTCCCACCTACGTCACGGGCGTCCCCAATGGCACCGAAAAGGTAGTCAAACTTCTCACCCTCTCTCTTTCTCTCTGTGCTCCCCGCGCCCAGTAGCTGTACCCCCGACGCTGACCACGTGCTCAGGGCCTTTACCTGGCCGTCGACCTAGGTGGCACCAACTTCCGTGTCTGCTCCGTCAAGCTCAACGGTGACACGACTTTCAACCTCACCTACAGCAAGGTCGCCATCCCCAAGGGGCTCATGGTTGCCAAGACAGCCACCGAGCTGTTTTCCTTCCTCGCCAAGCAGATCGAGGCGTTCCTGCGCGAGCACCACAAGGACCAGTTTGAGAACAGCGTCCGCCGCCGCCGCACTGTTAGCTCCAAGTCTGGCTACAAGGACGAGCACATCTTCCGTCTCGGTTTCACCTTTAGTTTCCCCGTCGAGCAGCTCGCCATTAACAAGGGCAACCTGATCCGATGGACCAAGGGTTTCGATATCCCCGACGCTATCGGCAAGGACGTCTGCGCCCTGCTCCAGGACGAGATCGACAACCTGCGCCTGCCCGTCCGTGTCGCTGCGCTCGTCAACGACACGGTCGGAACCCTCATGGCCCGCTCTTACACGGCAAACGGCAAGGAGGGCTCTCTCCTCGGAGCCATTTTCGGCACCGGCACCAACGGCGCCTACCTCGAGAAGCTGTCAAACATCAAGAAGCCCATCCAGGGAGACTACGACGCGGCCACGGGCGAGATGGTCGTCAACACGGAGTGGGGTTCGTTCGACAACCAGCTCAACGTCCTGCCCACGACACCGTGGGATACATCCCTCGACAAGGACAGCGTCAACCCCGGCATTCAGATGTTCGAGAAGCGCGTCTCCGGCATGTTCCTCGGCGAGATTGTTCGGCGGGTCGTTGTTGATATGATCAAGGATGACAAGCTTTCGCTCTTCCGCGACGACAACTCTAGCCACAACGACTGGAGGTCTACCACCGACGTCGACCCCAAGTCGAGCATTCGCAAGCAGTGGGGCTTGGACAGTGCCATCATGTCCGTGGCCGCATCCGACAACACGCCTGAGCTGTCCACCCTGCGACAGGAGCTCGAGACGGTGTTGCACGTCTACACCCCTTCCTTGGAGGACGCCCAGGCCTTCAAGGCTATTGCCGGAGCCGTCGGCCGCCGTGCCGCAAGACTCTCCGCCGTTGCGATCGCTGGTATTGTCCTGCAGTCCGGCAAACTCGACGACCCCGAGGCCGAATACATTGATATCGGCGTTGACGGCAGCCTAGTCGAACACTATCCCTTCTTCCGTGACATGATTTATGAAGCGCTGCGGGCTGTTAACGGCATCGGGTCCAAGGGTGCTGAGAAGATTCGCATTGGCATCGCCAAGGATGGCAGCGGCGTTGGTGCCGCTCTCATCGCGCTGGTGGCTGCAGGCATGGAGAAGGAGACGAGCGATGTGGCCGACTTTAGGGATTCCGTCAAGCGCGAATTGGACTCGATCCCGGCGCTAGGTGAGACTTCCGAAAAGGACGTACCTGATAAAAAAAAAAAATGCTGACTGACTGCTCTCTAGCGGATGATTCCCTGACATCGAACCAGCAGGTTGCGATTGGTGCTGGCATTGTTGGAGCTGCAGCCGTGGCTGCCCTGTACTGGGCTAGGCGACGAAACTACATCTAAGTCATGTCATGACGAGGGACGTGGCAGTGCGCGAACGCTGATTGAACGCCGTGAACACCCGCGCATGACACGCGGCGCGCAAAAGAAATCACATGTGTAAAGGAGGCAGGAACATTGGGAATTTTCTGGAGTTGGACGTCTATTTGCTCTACTTGTAAGGCGTATATCAGTTTTATATCTTGGTTTAGGACGGAACCCGAACCTAGCATGTACACGTCCGAGACCGTCATGTGAACTTGTCACCACCTCGGCAACACGCGTTGGTCGCCATGATGCACAAGAAATTAATTTCACGAAAGTCTATATCCCACGTCGACCGATCTTATCATGGAAATAAGGCCCCTCATCTCTCGTGAGGACTCTTTTACGCTATTGAACCCCGAAACAGCTCCCGCACGCGCGATCCCGACAATATCAAGATTGAAACGCTGCCGCGGGATACGACCGGTCCTTCTTCTTGCGCACGGTCGAGCTGCTCCGGGAACTCGCCTCGGAGCCGGGCCCACTGCTCGCGCGTGACGGCGGCGCCAGCATGCTGGGCGCCATGTCGGAGGGGAGATCATTCCATTCCGTCTCAGCGCGCTTGTTCTGAAAAGATTGGCCGCGGGACTGCGGCGGACCCGGCCTCGTCTGGGGGGCGGCTGCTGCTGCTGTCTCTTGGCTCGACGAGGGCGGCGATGGCTGCGCCAAGTTCGCCGCGGCGGCGGTGACGCTGGGCGCCGGCGCGCTGGACGCGTTGCCCATGGCGGGCCGGGAGGGCAGCGGGGCGGCGAGGTCGCGGGTGACGACGTAGGCCGTGTCGGGGCGGAGCTTGTGGTAGTAGCGTTCCTGGACGCGGGGGTCCTGGGCGAAGCCGCGGGCGGCGTACCAGGCGATGGCGTCGGCGTTTTCGGTCCAGACGTGGGCGTAGACGGTAGTGACGGCGAGGGCGGCGAGCTCGGGGGCGGCGAGCAGGTCGGCGAGGGCGGCGGTCGCGAGGCCGTGGGCGCGGTAGGGGGACAGGAGGGCCAGGGACTGGATGTACAGGGCCTGCGTCGTGGCCGTCAGGGGCTCGAGGCGGGCGACGAGGCCGCCGATGAGTTTCGGCGCGGCGGGGGACGGCGAGGCTGCGCCGCCTTGGTCTTGTGCGGCGGCGGGCGCGGGGTCGGACCAGGTGATGGCGCGGGAGAAGGGGCTCGAGAGCGCGGCCGTGTAGAACGAGTCTGGGTAGGCGACGGGCAGCAGCAGAGCGTTAATGCGGCGCAGGGCTGCTATGTCGGAGGCCGAGAGGCTGCGGATGGCGGCCTCGGCGGGGATCTCGACGGGGCGCTGCTGGGTCTGCGTCTGCGTCTGGGTCCCGGCCTGGCTCGAGGGGCGAGGGGTCGCGATGGCGGTCTGGGCGGTGGCCGATGCGGGGTTCGGTTGCGACGAGAAGGTCAGGGACGGCGGCAGAGGTGGTGCCTCGTAGCTGAGACCTTTCGGCAGAGGCTGTGGTTGCGATGGAGGGGCGGCGTATTTGGGCTGACGAGGTTGAAAGAACGACTTGATGGTGGTTTGTGACGGTTTCGAGGAGGATGAGGGGAGAGACATGGCGCAACAAGGGGAGGAGGGGGGGAGAAACGAAGAAGGAAGGAAAGGAAAGGGTGAGGTCCGAGAGAGAAAAATGACAGTATATCTATGTGATGGTGAATCTGACCCGTCTGGACCCGTCTGGCCAAACATGCACTGTGTTATTGTCGAGAGCTGATGGTTGGTGTGTTTCCACGCAAGCGGAATTTTGGAGGGGAGCGGACAGACGAATGTGGTGAAGCTTCTCACCTTCGACTCCTTTAAGGTTCCCCTTACATGACGCAGTCGGCGAATGAGAGCCGCGACGATGCGGGTTGACGGCCCCACCCGATGTCGTCTCCCAGACTGACGCTGCACCTCATCAGCACCTCATCAGCATCCCTGGTGAGCGGTCCAAGCTCTTCAGGGGCCTGAGTCTACCGACTTAGCTGAGTCCCTCCCAGGTGAGGGACCTAGATGGGAAGCACGCATGGCAAAATTCTGCCACTTTAAGGGGCGTGTGGGGAGGAAGTGATGGAGGCTCTTGGAGTGGCCTGCTCGGCAAGTCGGGTACCTTAGGTCAGGTACCTTAGGTCAGGTACCTAGGTAGGTAGGTAGGTATTCCCCCCCACTGTCGAGGCAAGTAAGCCCCTTATGGTCTGAGCCGGTCTTGGTAATCTCAGCACCTCTACAGGGGACCAGAGGTACCTTGGCACGGTAAATCCCCCCTAAGGGAACCCGGCTCCGCAACCCAGAACCGCTTTGGTAGCCGTGTCCGTGGCGTGCCTGGCGGATGAGATCAACATTTGTTCGGTTGCCGGTCGGATTGGCGAAAACGAATCTCCTCTTCTTCGCCATTTCTGAATCCATCGCCTCCCCCCTCCCCCCCCCTTCGCGTCGCCTGCCAGCTGGATCCCTTCGCCCTGGACGAGCCAGCTTGACAACACCATTGATGCACGAGACGTTCCTCTTTGCATCAGCATCGCCCGCCTGCTGCTGGATACCGAGCGACAACGGGGGCCTCCTTCAGTGGACCCGACCGAGGTGGACTGCCTACTGCTGCTGGCTGGCTGCTCAACCAAGTCACGCTACCAACCATAGTGAGCCGCCTGCCTTCCACGCGACCTGCAATCTGCCACCTTCGGATCACCGATCCCCCCCCCCCGGGGAGCCAGACCAGAGGCAGAAGCAGCCCAACAACAGCCATTACGTCGGCATCGACACCAGGCCTGCAGACCCTGTACCCCCCCATAGCATCTCAAGTTGACGCTCCTCCGTCGAGACGCACGAGTTCTTTGCATCAGACACGGCTGGTCTAAAGTACGGCCTGGTCCGAATCGCTCCTGGCACTACACCTGCATCGGGTCGACCCTCTACCGTCACCCCCCGTCGTCCGACCACGGAACATTATTCAGATACCCGCCCGTCTCCGTCGCGACAACCGCCACAGCTCGCGGCTGCGAAGCTCACCCTCACATCAAACCCCCTCCCAAAAACAACCCCCAGTCAGCTTCCTGCCACCCCGCAGGCCTTGACCGTGACACCATGGCTTCCAATACAGGCAAGGCCGGTGTCATTGTCGCTCCCGATTCTGCCAGCCCTATGGATCATCTTGTTCGTCGTCCATCTCCTTCTCCTTCTCCTTCTCCTTCCTCTTCCTCTCTCCTCACAACTTGTGTGGCTGCCTTCGTATTGTCATGATGTATGCTGATCCAGGCCTTGTTTCCCCCGCCACCAGGCACACGCCGTCCTCGACGACCTCCTCTACAATACCATACACGACATACTCATAAAAGCACATCGAGACGAGAAAATGGCAAGAGCGACGACGGCTGTCATTCTTGCTGAGAAGCTGGCTTCCGATGCATCAGAAAGCTCCACCCCCGACTCCAAACCCGATGTCAGAATAGAGACGGATGCCGCCATCTACGAAGACGGCAAGGTCACACTCAAGGGCAACCCTCTCAAGACGACGAAAGATATCCTGTGTCCACGCTGCCACCTCCCCCGACTCCTTCATCCCACCGACGGCAAGGGCGCGAGGAAACCCGACCCTGGCGTCGTCTACTGCAAGAAGGTGCCTTACATTGACAAGCCTGGATTCGATATTTATGGCCAGACGTGGGTACAGCCGGGACCCGGCCGTGGCAAGAAGAAGAAGGACATGAAGCCGGACCCAAACATCGAACCAAACCCCGGCGCCCCGGATCAGCGACCTCCCAACGTCCTCTCCTTCCCCTCCGCCACCTGCAGCAAGTGCAAGCGCTGCATTCTCGTCACCAGGCTGAACAACCACATGGGCTCCTGTATCGGCAACAGCGGCAGGAACGCCAGTCGAGCAGCCGCGGCCAAGATTTCAAATGGCAGCAACGGGAACAGCCAGAACGACGGCACGCCCCCCTCGAGTCAAAAGGCCACACCAGTCCCGAATTCACGAGCCTCGAGCCCCAAGAAGCGTGCCAGTGAGGAGGCGGAAGAAGATGGCACGTCCGACGCGAGCGGGCCCAAGAAGAAGAAACTGAAGCCGTCCCCAATGACAAAGAAGGTCATCCTCAAGACGAAGGGTCCAAAGAAGGACAAGGTCAAGGGCGGCTCGCTCCTGAGCCAGGAGCACAAGCCCGACGATGATGATGGCGACAACTCGACGGTCGAGGTGGCCCCGAAGAAGAAAGTCGACAAAGACATTGGAAAAGGCATCAGTCCTACGAAGAAACTCAAGCTCGGCTCCAACAAGCCGCCTCTGTCATCACCCATGAGCAAAAATGGTCGAGAAGGAGACGCCGAGTCTGAGTCTAGTGGAACGTTGTCGTCACCTCCTCATGCTTGAGCTGGCTGCCTACCTCTTCAGCTAGCGAGAGCCCCTACCCTTTCGCTGTCCATCTTATCGTTTTGCTGTCTTGTCGGTCGTGCGGCAGGATCTGGCTGCCATTCGTTCGCTCGTCACGACTATTGCTTTGCTCTCAGCGGGGACTGGCTTTGACTGTAACATATTAACCGCACCTTGAAGTTGCTCTCGGCGACATGTCTCTTTTTTTTCTCGACCTCTTCGGAAGGCTGGCCAAAATTTACCAATCTGCATCCCCTGGCATGGGGCGGCGGCATCGGCGTTGTTGGGTGGTTCTGGGTACAGGAAGGCCTGGGTACAGGAGGGCCCATGTGTATAAAAAAAACCAATACTGCATACAGAATTGCTTCACTAGCCATTGCTGGCACCTTAGAGATGATGCATCTGCATGTGTACGTGCATTAGTGGCCAGCGATGGTCCCACTGTCAAATGACTTGTCATGGCGATATAATTATGGTTAAGGGAGTGTACACCCCGGCGAACAACAATCGCGATTCACTACCTTTGCGGTTGCATTTGCGTGAACATTCTTATTCGTAACCACCAAAACCTAAGTCATGTCGATCCGCCAGGCGTCCCAACCCTACCTACTTTTAAATGAACGCCAAACTCCATGCTATGCATCACATCGAGCCGTTCGGTAACTTCCCCGTACAAAGATGAACCACCACCCCCACCCTGGCCATCACATCACAGCTCATCAGCCTCGATAACCCGCGCCTTGAGAATCTTGACCTCGTCAACGGGCCTGTCCTCGGCCCCCGTCTTGACCAGCCCCATCCTTTTGACGACGGCGAGCCCGCTCTTGACGCGGCCAAAGATGGTGTGCTTGCGGTTGAGCCACGGTGTCGGCGCCAGCGTGATGAAGAACTGGCTGCCGTTCGTGTCGGGACCGGCGTTGGCCATGCTGAGGATGCCGGCGCCGTTGTGGCCGAGGTCGGCGTGGATCTCGTCGGCAAACTTGTCGCCGTAGATCGAGGCGCCGCCGCGGCCGGTGCCCGTCGGGTCGCCGGCCTGGACCATAAAGTTGGGGATGATGCGGTGGACGAGCGTGTTGTCGTAGTAGCCGCGCTTGGCGAGCGTCGCGAAGTTGGTGCACGTCTTGGGCGCGTGCGAGGTGTAGAGCTCGAGCAGGATCGTGCCCTGGAGCGAGAGGTTAGCGACCGAGATGGAACGGACAGAAAGGAACAGGCAAGGGAGGGGGGCGGCTTGCCATTGTGGTTTCGAGGGCGACGGTGGTCATTTTGGCGGTCGCTGACCGAACTCGTATGAGCAGCTGTGGAGGTGGTTGCGAATGTCGGCGAAAGGAGCAAAGCTTATGAGTGTAAAGCAACAGGCAGTCGAGGTCGCGATGCGAATCGAGGGGTCCGAAATCTTCAGGCAAGGCTGAGGATAACGCAGCGGGATAGCTTCCAGCCACAGCGTCTCAATCCGGCTACGTCATTGGCTAGAAGGTCATACACGGCACTTGAACGCAACTGCGCTTTCAGCAACACGCCCGCCATTCTTGAGTATTTCGCAGGTCTGAAAGTAGCCCTCCACCAAATCGGTCGATCATTCCCATGTATGTACTTTTATTGGCCTCATGATGGCTTCGTTTTCCATCCATGTGCGCCTTGTGAACACTGTGTCGCATGCCACTGACGCTCTTCACACAGCTCTTGCCTAGCGCCACGTTGCACCTGCCTGGAATACTCCAGTGTACGCCACTTCCAGGAAGCGCCTCACAACTTGCATCACACTTGCAGTGAATAGCCCAGCTTCAGCATTTGCTGCCTATTTCACCTTCACCTGAAAAGCCGCCAAGCCCTAAATTTTGTTGCAGGGCATTTTCCGTTTGCCTCGCTTGTCAACAATCACAAGCTTTGCAGCCCAGGCTTGCCCTCTCCATCCACATCGGAGTACACTCCCAACGCAAGTCTCATCGCAACAGCCCAACGATTCACCAGGGCAGACCATCGTTGAAGAACTGCAATACCCTCTCCCAACGGCCAACATGGCCTCCCCCGATGCAAAGTCCGATCTCCTTCTACAGCACGAGGGCGCCGTTGCTTTGTCGGGAAATACGACTACGGTTGCGAGCTCCATCTTCGCCTGGAAAGACCCTCACTTCCTCGCTGTCGAGGTCAAGCTCGTCTTCACTGCTCTTGCTCTCATTTACATCGGTGCCCACGCCGCCCTCAGACGACCTCCTTCCGCGGCACCTGCTGTCATAACCAAGTCCGGCAGGCCGCGGAAGAAGAAGCCCTCCGACGACGATGTCTTCACTCAAGGGCTGCTCCCCTCCGACGCTATCATCTTCCCCGTCATGGCCGGCATTGTCCTCGTCGGCCTGTACTACCTCATCCAGTGGCTCCAGGATCCCGCAATTCTCAACAAGATCCTGCGAGGCTATATCTCCATCATGGGGATTTTCAGCTTAACCAGTCTGATTGCTAACACTATTCAAAATGCCACAAGCTTCCTCTTTCCTCTCTACTTTCGCAAAGGACGCACCACCTACCTCGTCGATGGTGTCGAGGAGTGTCTCCGACCGATCACTCAAGACGGCAGCCAAGACGTCGTCCCCCCTGCAGAATCGACATCTCCGATCCCCTGGGCGCCTTTTCTCGTTCGCAGCCCTAAGGCGCGGCGTTACCTGTGGGAGATCCGTCACCTCATCAGCGAAGAATGGACGGTGAAGCTCAAGCTCCACGGATTTTTCAACGAGAAATTTTCAATTCAGTTCAGTCATATTTTGGGTTTCTTGCTCGCCTGCTCTGTCGTCGCGGCATACCATGTCACCAACCACATGGTGCTTTCCAACATCCTAGGATACGGGCTGTGTTATGGAACGTTTTTGATAATGTCACCAACCACGTTCCCAACCGGCACTCTTATCCTCTGCGGACTGTTCATTTATGACATTGTCATGGTCTTCTACACGTAAGTTGATTTTTCCCCCTCTCACTAGACAATCAATCTCACATGACCTCAGACCGTATATGATCACTGTCGCAACCAAGCTCGACGCGCCCATCAAACTTACCTTTGCGTCAGCCGCCAAGTCCAGCATTCTCGGTCTTGGTGACATCGTAGTTCCCGGTATGGTCATGGCGTTGGCTCTACGGTTTGATCTTTGGCGCTTCTACAACAAGCAGGTCAAGTACGTTGCCACAGAGCTGAAGTTAAAGGCGACTGGCCCAACATCCGATGACATTGTCGTCGCTAGCGAGATTCAACACATGGCTAAGAAGACTCCATATATCGACGTCACCGGCTCATGGGCAGACCGCTTCTGGGTATCGACTTGGCCTGGCTTGCTCACATTCTCGAAGCCTGGAAAGGACGCCCCAATCTCGGTTCAGGTGGCTGCCTTTCCCAAGACTTACTTCTACGCATCCCTTATTGGTTACACTTTAGGGCTGCTGGTGACACTGGTCATGCTGGTTGTGTTCAGGCACGGTCAGCCTGCACTGCTGTACCTTGTGCCGGGCGTCCTCGGCTCTCTCTGGTTGACAGGTCTGGTCAGGGGCGAGTTGAAAGAGATGTGGACCTACACTGAAGACGGCACACTTGACACTCAGGATGTCATCGTCGAGCTCGATAACTCCGGCAACGTCATCAAGGAGATCAAAGATAACAGACAGAGCACAGATGAGAAGGAGAGTGAAGAGAAGAAGAAAAAGTCGGAGCAGGCAACAAAGGCGGCCCAGTCCGGTTATGATGTCTTCCACTTCTCGGTCAGGGCGCCGCCGCGCGGTCCAGGCAAGGCGGATATTGCTCAGGAACTCGAGAGGAAGGCTCTCTAAACCAAAGTATAGGGATCAAACCAGAGTAGATGCATCAAGCGTGTACCGGGGATCTTCCGGGATACTCCTGTCAATTGAAATTGATTGTCACCAGCGTGCGCATCAACGAGGATGGTGGCTCGGCCCCGACATCCTGTCATAATTTCTGTTCTTTCGATTAACTCGACTGAAGATCCGTCTTGTGAACAGTTTTCAGGCTGATCAAGGATTTCAGTCTTCGAGTCTCACCAACGCCATATCGGGCAGACACGGAAGATTGGCTGTCACATTTCGAACGCATATCAAATCTGAAAATGAGTCCTGAAAAAGTTCGGGTGTATAACCTTCGCAACCCCCGAGACACAAAGGTGATAATAAACATGACTGTGGAGCGAATTTTATCTCCGGTTCGGTTTCAAAATGGATGTTGGCTAACCATAAGCCACGACCTCCGTGTTACCCTTCACGTCAGTCCAGAAGTCGGCCATTGACGCAGAACACTGCAATTCCAGCAGAAGCGAACAGCATCTCTTGCTATCGCACCTAATAAGCCATTAGAAGTTTAGCTCACTTTTTATATGTACGGGGTCTAGAGGAGAGGGTGTGAAGCACGATAGTCAAGAATTTTTTTTTCATGCCTACGTCTGTTCTGCCATGGCAAGAAAGTCTAACACGAACCTTGCTGGTGTCCAACTGTAGAGCTGAGTTTTGACAACAGCCATCATGCTGTCGACCTTGATGTACAATTTGCGTTTCCTTTCTCCGCTACCTCCTGCCCATCGCTTTTGATGAGCCATGTTGACCTATTTTTGCCTTACCGGGCCGCATCATTCCCAACACATTTTCTTTTCCTCGGATTCTTTACATATTACATTGGATCAGTGCAGATACATCGAAAATACTTGCTTTGACGGTCAGAGTCGAATAGCCTCGTTCGTTCGTTCATCGAATCGCCAAGCACAAACTTGAACGAAGCCGTCCTATTCATTCACCCATATCCTCTGATTTACTCCGGCGATTCACTCCTGTCGTTGGCCAGAACAGGTTGCACCTATCTTCCGAGTTCTCGAGCATTTGCTTCTCTAGACAGCCTCCTCTGTCCTGGTATCGACAACAACACACGAAATCCACCACAGGATTCAATCACTTGCAGGCTTTGTCCTCGACACCCAATCACCACTCAACGTCGTTAAAACATTGAGTATATCAAACCACATTGAGGTGCCGATCGTTTGCACGGTCCCTCATTCCATCGTTGAGATGACGAGTCCGCCTGTTCACAATGACTTCTTCAATACTGTCATGAACAAAGCTCATAGCATAAACGTGCCTGCTCAAAACAAACATGATGTCTCTCTCGACAGCCAGGCAACTCATATACCAGATGATTCGAGCATTCCAGCCATCGACATTGGATGTCCGCTGGTGCCTATCAGGGACGAGCCCATATTCAGCCGGGGTCGAATCGTGCCCACATCCATCGACTCTCTTGTCAATCACAGGCGTCCAAATGCCAGTGTGTTACCCGACCCAAGCTTAACCTACGTTGAGGAGATGGGACCACCCCCCAGAAACCTCTTGGCGGATAAATACCGGACTGCCAGGTCTGTTGCGCTCGAGACTCTCCGCTCCCACGGCCAGCTTTACGACAAGACGCCCTCCACCAGCGATCTCGCCGACAGGTCCTTCAACCAGCCCGCGTTTCAAGAAGCCACGGCAGAGTTTGCTGAATACGCAGTCAAGTGCATGCCCGGCTACCTCCAGAACCCATCCGGCCTGCGCACGAAGCGGGGGCGGGACGGAGACGAGGCGCTCGACATTGTCCGGCCGCGCTCCCCCAAGCGCGTACGCTCCGAACGTCCTCCTGTCGAGGTCGCGAGGCCAGCGTTAGCCAGTCGGGCGAATGCAATGCTCTCAGAAGAGGCTTTGAAGGATCACCCTGCCCTGCGACTGCTCGGGGACGGGTGGCATGACATTCACTCCCAGATGGGGTTCGCCGAAACCACGACAGAGACGCCCGGCGACGAGCAGCGCCAAGATGCGATGTATCATTCGACATCGCGAATCTTGTCGAGGATTGCCATGGAACATCTCGGTGAGGTAAGAGACGACATTACGGAGGCTCTATTGTGATCAGTTAGGTACATCTGTCTTTTTTGGGTAGGGATATCAGGATGCATGGCCGGCTGCCGTTCTTCCCGTCTGCTTTTTGGTTCGGTGGGAATTGCTCTTTCTTCTGATTCCCCTGCATTCGCCCGTGCATTAGAAACCATTAAACTAGATACATATACAGTCAGGGGCTCGAGTGCGAGCTTGGCCCATAGTGCTTCACATGCGGTACTGGACCCTCAGTTTTGAAGAGAAGATGCCTTTGTAGCGAAAGCACAAGCATGAATAAAATTACCAATAAGCTACAACGGCATAACTTTGACTAACGTCTTGTCCCATTACATCCTCCAAATGAGCCTGATTGGTAAGTATCTCGCACTCCTCTTCTCGGAGTCGCGCCTAGATACCAATGAATCCCCCGCACCGACGAAAAGGTCCAGGCTCAGCAAGGGACCCTCCACGCAGTTTCGACGAGGCACTCGACACATATGAAGAGGCTGCCCTGTCATCCCCTACGCTTCATGGGGCTGCCCAACTCTCGGCGTTATGATGGGCTGAAACTTCTTGAAAAAAAGGCAGAAGTCTTTTATAGAAAAGAAGAGAAAAGTGTAGACGTCCAGGGACCGCGACATGTGGGAACAATGTCCGCCCTGCCTGTGATCGCTGCTCGAGCGGCGACGCTGGCCACGGCTTCCTGCCTGCAAACCTGGACCACTGGGGGGCAGCGTGTAGAGGCGAGGCGGGATGGAGGACAGGGCCGCGAGAGGATCGGCTCAAATTCTTCGGCCCTTTTCCCCCAGCCCCTGTAAAGGGGGACTGGGAAGGGCAGGAAAACGAGGGAGGGCGTTCGCGCTTCAGGGTCCGTGGCACTTCCAGCGGACACGGGGTCTCTACATTCGTAGCCGGCGACGGTGATAGTGGCCTGCTTGAGGGATAGTGTTGACTGAGCGTAGAAGGGCAAGCAGGCCGCCGGTCATGGTGTTGTCGGTAGCGAAAGGGAGAAACGGGCCGGATCGACGCGAAGGCTCTGCGGTCAACCTTCCAGCAGCAAAGTGGAACGGCGTCTTGAAAAAGAAGGATCCTCGACTGCCCTCCCACGAGGGAAAAGCAGGAGGATCAACTGAAAATAAAGGGTGGTGTTCAACGCTTCAGACGGCCCGAGGGGGTCATCTTCCAGCGGAACATCGATAGAAAAATGGCGCTCCTGGCCTGTTCGACGCTCATGTGTTGACGTCATGGGCACGAAGCAGTCGGAAGAACAAATGCTGGACTGCTCGCACGATGGGCGGAACGGGGGAGGCTCGGTTGGCGATGCATGGTGGCATGCGTGGGATGATGAGGGAGGGAGGTGGTTTGGCGAGGCCTCTGCTGCGAAGCAGGTTCTCGAGATGAATCGGAGAACTGCGCTGACGAGATGGAAAGTGGATGAATGAACGGGCAGGAAGCAGCCAGTCTTATACCTTCCAATTGTGGCAAGATGCGCATGAGCAGACGAAGCAGTGACGATGGGCCCATTGAAGTGAGGTTGAGACAAGTTCAGGTATCGGGGCGTCACAGACACGGCTAATTGCACGCATGTCGCACACGACCCGCCTCGACTGGCCACTGAACGTCGAGGCTGCAACAAGGTGTCACGACCGTCTTCCTTGTGAGCTGACGGCAATGACACTGATCCAGTTTCGCGACAGGGCCTCGTCGTTGGCAAACAATCCCAATGGCCTGATGTTCGAAACTCGGAACGAAGATCACTACAGCCGAATGCCCTTTGGCCTCCTGGAGCGTCCTCTGTTCTTCCCCGTTTCAAACAGCAGCCGAGGGCCTTGAAACACAGCCATGTCCTCGTCACCTTCCGATAGCCCCCATCCTCCTCGCAGACCACATCTCGTCCAGTGGATTCTCGATACCAGGACCCTCTGGCCCGAGGCCACCAGGACCAAGGATCTCGAACATGCCGTGAGATGCCGTTCCCCTCCTTCGTCTTCGTCACCCCGAGTTTCTCCTCGGTCCAGCACGTAAGTCCAGGGTTGCCCCTTACTGACAGAGCCCAGGCCTCTCGTGCCCTCGCGCTCCTGACGCCTGACGAGCGTGCCGGCGTCCTTCGCTTCTACCATGTCCGCGACGCCAAGCTGTCGCTGGGCTCCCACCTCCTCAAGCGCCACGCCATTGCCCGTTTCTGCGGCGTCCCCTGGTCTCGCGCCGTGCCCATCCGTGACACCCCGACCGCCAAGCCGTCCTGGCGCGACCCCGCCGGCCGCGAGCCCCTGCGCTTCAACGTGAGCCATCAAGCCGGCCTCGTGGCTCTCATCGCCGTGCACGACGACCAGGACCCCGGCGCCCTCGAGATTGACGTTGGTGTCGATGTCGTCTGCACCTCGGAGCGCCGCGTCCGCGACCGCGCCACCATCGCCGCCGAGGGCTGGCCGCACTTTGTCGACGTCCACGCCGACGTTTTCTCGCCGCGCGAGGTTGCCTACCTGCAGCACGGCATCATGGCGCCCGTGCATCAGCTCCCCGGGCGGCCCGGCGGCGGCGCGTCGGCCGACGAGATCGCCGACTTTCAGCTGCGGTGCTTCTACGCGCTGTGGTGCCTGCGTGAGGCGTACGTCAAGATGACGGGCGAGGCGCTGCTGGCGCCGTGGCTCAGGGATCTCGAGTTTCGGGGGTTCCGCGCGCCGGCTGCTGCGAGCGGGGAGGAGGGAGGACGCCTGACTGTGGATGAGGCCGAGGGGACGGCAGTACGGCAGCACGAGATCTACTTTGAGGGGACGAGGGTTGAGGACGCCAATGTCTGTCTCAAGTCTGTGGGACCGGACTATATGGTTTGTGCTGCCGTGAGGACGCCTCAAAGCAAGGAGGAGGGGCTTGCCTTGAGGCTCGGTGATTTCGAGCTGGTGCGCGTAGAGGAGCTGATTGCGTTTGCAGAGGCAGCATCATGATGAGCGTTTCTCTACTTGTGCCTATGTTCGAGTCGCATTATGTGCTGGACTGGGTGGGCTGCTGCTGAGGCTGGCTGATGCCTGACGAGTACGGTATTGCCAGGGCAGGCCACAAAGGGATCGCGTAGCACAGTGACAACAAACACAGAAGCACCAGGCGAGTTCTTCCCCTGGCAACCGCGCACTTTCCATATAACCACGTCCGCCTTTCGCTCTATTGTCACTCCTCCTCCATTAGCCCAGTGGTTGAGCAAACAAGTTACAACCAGAAGGGTACTGGTTCGAATCTCACTCCCAACCCAGTTTTCCTGGCGAAACCGCGGGCCTCGTGGCGGTTTCCGTACCCAGGGTCCATCACCCCTCGCCCATCGGCCCCCTGACGCAGGGGCCCGATGGGCCGGGGGTGACCGGCCCTGGCGAGCGTTTTGCCGGTGTTTTCCTTTGACGCACTCCCACGATGCATGCACTCCAGGGTGCACTCCCATCATATATGCTATTTCAAGAAGGGCACAGAAAGTGTTGCATGGCATTCATTATGGGGCTCTTGTCATAAAATGACAGGCGCAGCGCTCACAGGTTCTTGCTGAAGAACTCGACAACCGTCTTGTAGCCCCTGGCATACTCCTCCTTGACGCGCTCATCCTCGAGGTCGGCGCGGGCGGCCATCCAGCCGTGGATCTGGTCCTTGAAGGTCTCGACGTGCTTGGTCACCTGCAGGGCCTCCTCAAACTTGCCGACGGCCTCGTCGGGCTCCTCCTTGGAGGCGAGCAGGATGAAGGGCACCTTGACGCCCTTGGCGTCCTCGGGGTCGACCATGGCGGGGTGGATGGAGGCGGCGGCCTTGAAGGGGTTCTCGTCGCCCGAGGTGACGAGCGTCGCAACCTTGCCACCCCAGCAGTACTGCGCGTCGCCGTCGTCGTTAGCAGTGCCGTGAAAAGTGTCCGGGCAGGGAGCAGGGGCAAAACACGCACGCCAATGATGGCCCAGTCGGTGATCTCGGGGTACTTGTCCCTGGCGGCCTTGACGTAGCCCGGCACGAGGCCGGCAATCTTGGGCGGCGGGTACTTGCCGAAGAAGGCGCCAAGGTTCTTCTGCTTCTCCTCCGTGTCGGGGGGGTACCACTCGATGGGGCAGGGGTTGCCGCCGAACCAGTCGGGGATGAGGACGCGGTGCTTCTGGTCGCCGCTCGTCGCGAGAATGTCGGCGCCCTGGAGGGACTGGGGGAAGTAGCCAAAGATGTCGTAGATGAAGAGGATGCCCTTCTTGGCGTCGGAGGGACCTGTGGTGTCTGCGGAGCAGGGTCAGTGGAGGGTGGCCGGCGGAGGGCGGCCAGCGCGCCACAAAGACGGCGGGTCACGTACACGTCTTGATGTCGTTGACCTGTTCGTAGGAGCCCTTGGCATCGTAGCCCTTGGAGATGACGGGTGGGATGTTGCAGCAGGCCTCGTTGTGGCCGTGCTGCGCAGGCATTGTCGACATGATGGCGGTGGTCGACGTCTGGAGCTTGGGGATGCTGGGTGTAAACAGGGCAGATGCCACTTTCTTTTTCTTCTTCTTGGTCGTAGGTGCGATCAGTTGGAGGACTGCTGCAAGTGAAGATGAGATGGAAACGAGAAGAAAAGGAGTCCCATTGCCTGTCAACTGCCGGCTTGATCGTGTCGTCACCGCGACCCCTCAGTGTCAGAGGGGGCCTAGTGCGGGGGGAAGCTCTGGGCCCCGCCTCGCCGTCGGGCAGCGTACCTATCTTCCTAGGTACCTACTGGAGCATGCTAGGCCTAGGGTGCGGATAGACCAGGCAAGGGACTTTTCGGAAATCCAAAACAGAGTTTCTCTGACCAGACTCGGAGATGGTACACGGCACACTGGCTTCTGACACGAAAGCCAGTGTGCCGTCTTCCTGTCACATCTCTGACCAGCTATGCGACGGACAATGGGGTTCGAGGCTCTCGCGTTGTGGATCCACAGCTGCCAGGGACATGCCCCTTATTGTTCCCTGTTGTTCCCCCTAACGGCCCGCTACGAGGTCTTGCCGCGTGTGCCCTGGTGCCCCGAACGCCGTTCAGGCGCTACAGTAGCCCCACCAGAGCTCTACTATCATCACAAGCTATCGACCCCTCCAGATCCTGCTTCCAACAGTACCCCCCCCCAGTAGTCACTACAGCATCACAAAGCATCCAAGCCCAAGACAAACACTCCATCAAACTCGTCAGTCATCAAATGTCGTACCCCGTCCGCCGCATATCCGCCACGGCCTTGTTCACGACCATGCCGTCCGTCGGGAACGCCAATTGCTTCGCCGCCTCGTCGACCTCGCACCAAACGTTCTCGAACAGGCCCGCGTCCTCACCCACGAGCGGCTCAGGCAGAGCGCTCTCGTCGGCCGAGGCAGCGTAGTAGAACACCATCTTCAACGCCCCCGTCGCCACGTCGGCCCAATGGCAGCACGCCACCGCTTCGTAATGGTCGACCCCCTCTGTCAGCCCTTGCCGGACGGGCCCCTCAGCATCTGACTCGACGGCCTGTACATCGACATGCGCGCCCCGTGCCCGCCGCTGCATCGCCTGCATCGCCTGCGCCGCCTGCACCGCCTGCACCGCCTGCATGTGCTGCACCTCGTGCATCTCCTGAAGCTCCTGCTGCCCCTCGAGCGCCCCCTCCCCGGGCGTCGCCCTCGTGCCGCACCGCACCGCCAGCGGCGTCACCCGGACACCCGTCTCCTCGAGCGTCTCCCGCACCGCGCACGCCAGCAGCGACTCCTCGCCCATGTTCTTGCGCCCTTTGGGCAGCTGGAAGAGGCCCTGCCGTTTGTTGTACACGAGCAGCACCCGCCGCGTCCTGAGGTCCACCGTCACCGTGCCCGCCCCGACCGTGAACCCGTGCGACGGCAAGAAGACACGTGGCTGCCGGAGCGCTGCCTCGCCCAGCGGCGTCGGCTGGTGCTGCCGCGCTGCCCTCGTCGGGCTTCCTTTTCCTGCTGCTGCCGCTGCTGCTGCCGCTGCTGCTGCCGCTGCTGCTGTTGTTGCTGGCCATGGCGAACCGCTAGGTGACGGCGAGGTTTGGGGGGTCGGTGGCCGCCGGCCGTGCTGGTGGTCATGGTCGCAGCCAAACATGCTCGGCATACCAAGACGATGAACGGGGAAGACGGCAGGCTGACTGACTGGTTCGTTGGCTGGGGCGGCAGACTCGGGATCATTGGGTGTGGCCGATGCGCCAGAGGGACGACACAAACGATTTCGCTTGGCGTCGCCTGATCGAGCCTTCTCTAATAAGAATACAAAGCCAGAGGAATGTGCAAGGAGGAGGAAACTCAAAGTTGAGAAGACAATCCAAGTCCAAGGCGAGTCTTTAAGAAAAGGGGACAAAGGCTGCTGCCCTGAGCAGATTTGTGAACAAGAACCGCCGCCCCTTGCCGCCTTACCCCCCTTGAGGTGGACTGATATATCACTTCTCAAAGATGCTAGTAGACTCTTGTTTCTAAACTTGCCTGCCATTCTCCTCCCCTAGTCCGACCCCTCGCTAGCGCCTTCTTTTTCTGTCTCCTCTCCTCTATCTTGGTCTCGATTTTTGCCTCTGTCCCGATTTGGACCGCACTGTCCGGACTTGACCGACAGGGTTTCATGGCCGGCAAGCCAAGTCGTACGCTGTCCTGCTCACGCGGGTTTCCCAGGGGATCCCCGAACCAGATGGGCAACATGACACCTCTGCCAGATCAGATCAGCCGGCTGACCAACAGCGAGCGGGCAGCAGCGCCCAGGATCAGGCTTATCTCGCCAACCCTAGAACCCTAGGATCCTAGGACCCCAGGAGCGCTCAGCACACAGCACGCAGCACGCAACACACACATCCTCTTGTCAAACCCCCACGTCAGCTTCAACTGTCAGTTTCGGTGAACACAAGGGTGACCGGTGGTCGTCTGCCCCAGTTTGGTGCTGCCGTGCCATGCCGTGATGCGACGATGACCTCCCCCTCCTTTGCTCACCACCTCATGTGGTCAGCCCATCAGGTAGATCATATTGGCTCTTCCCAGTCAGGCTGCGGTTTCAGGGAAACAGGTTTCCTCCAATTCGTCGAGATATGCGAGCCTACCTTGGTCCGCGAAAGGGCCCCGCCGCGAATCAGCTGCCGTGGGCCAGCCCAGCCGACCCGGCAGATCGCAATTCCTCCTGCCGTCGCTTGCCACGGTCACCGAGCTCGGCCCTGGGGAGGGGCCCGCATCTATAGCACCGAGGCGGCACATGACAAGCTGCGTACGCGGGGCACAGGCCGCCTGTGCGGGGTTCGGATCGTGACGGCTCACAATCGATCGTGGGGATCGCGATCTTTTGTTTCTTGACACAACAGAATGCGCGCGCTGTTTGTCTCGTCACGTGTTGCGCAGGCGAAGAGGAGGTCATTCGTTCGCACGAGCAAGAAGAGCGGCAGCAATACTACGAGAAGAATTTGTTGAATTTGGTACCCGACGCTTTTCTACATCCTGAACACTCCAAATTTCGTCTCGCCCGCCTTGACCTCATTCCGGCCCGTCATGGCCGCGCGCAGGCCCAGTCCGAGGTACCTCCTCGTGTCCTGTGGCGGGATGATGCCGTCGTCCTGTGTCTGTCAGTGCTTGTTCGTTGCATGGGTAGAGGTGGAGAGACAGAAGAAAAGAAAGGCAAAAAAAAGAGGAACGCACCCATAACCTTGCCGACGAGAACGTGGCATCGCTCTCCTTCTCTATCCTGTCCTTCAGGGCGGGATCGGCCTTGCCGACCGTCTCCATGACCGAGTTGAGCTGCTCGCTGCCCATGACGCCGATGCGGGCGTTGGGCCACATCCACAGGAAGCGGGGCGAGTAGGCGCGGCCGCACATGCCGTAGTTGCCGGCGCCGTAGCTGCCGCCGACGACGACGGTGAACTTGGGCACGTCGGCGCAGGCGACGGCCGTGACGAGCTTGGCGCCGTGCTTGGCGATGCCGCCGCGCTCGGCCTCGGAGCCGACCATGAAGCCGGAGATGTTCTGCAGAAAGACGAGGGGGATGCCGCGCTGCGTGCAGAGCTCGACAAAGTGGGCGCCCTTTTGGGACGACTCGGCAAAGAGGATGCCGTCGTTGGCGACGATGCCGACCTTGTAGCCGTGGATCTGGGCGAAGCCCGTGACGAGCGTCGTGCCGTAGTCGCGCTTGAACTCGGAAAACTCGGAGCCGTCGACGATGCGCGCGATGACCTCGCGGATCGGCAGCGGCTTGCGCAGGTTGGTGCTCGCGATGCCGAGGAGCTCGGCGGGCGGGTGGACGGGCTCGGCGTAGGCGGCGGCCGGGGCCGGGGTCGCGGGGCTGCGGGCGGGCCAGTTGAGGTTGCTGATGCTGCGGCGGGCGAGGGTGAGGGCGTGGGCGTCGTCGACGGCGAGGTAGTCGGTGACGCCCGAGACGGACGAGTGCAGGCGGCCGCCGCCGAGGTCCTCGGCCGAGATGACCTCGCCGGTGGCGGCCTTGACGAGGGGCGGGCCGGCGAGGAAGATGTGGCCCTGGTTCTCGACGATGATGCTCTCGTCGCTCATGGCGGGCACGTAGGCGCCGCCGGCGGTGCAGGGCCCCATGACGACGGAGATCTGGGGGATGCCCTGGGCGCTCATGCGGGCCTGGTTGTAGAAGATGCGGCCAAAGTGGTCGCGGTCGGGGAAGACGTCGGCCTGGTGCGGCAGGTTGGCGCCGCCGCTGTCGACGAGGTAGATGCACGGCAGCCTGTTCTCCTGGGCGACGGCCTGGGCGCGCAGGTGCTTCTTGACGGTGATGGGGTAGTAGGTGCCGCCCTTGACGGTGCTGTCGTTGGCGACGATGACGCAGGTGACGCCCTCGACGACGCCGACGCCCGTGATGATGCCGCCCGCCGGCACGTCGGCCTCGGGGTACAGCTCGTGGCCGGCGAGGGGCGAGAGCTCGAGAAAGGTGGTGCCGGGGTCGATGAGGGCCGTGACGCGGTCGCGCGGCAGCATCTTGTTGCGCGCGAGGTGCTTCGCGCGGGCCTTGTCCGAGCCGCCGCGGTGGATGCGCGTCGTCAGGGTCTGCATGCGGGCCATGACCTCGGCCATGCCCTGCTCGTTCTCCCTGAACTCATCCGAGGACGGGTCGACGTTGGTCTGGACGAGGGAGATGGCGCTGGCTTGGTGGGGTGGTGTAAACGTCGCGACGCCGCGAGTCTGCGTCTGCGTCTGTGTCTGCGTCCGCGTCTGTGCAACGCCGCTGCTCGTCGAAGATCGTGAGCAAGGGCGGAGGCGGGGCTGGAGGGTGTGGAGGCGGGCGGCGGCCGTCGTGGAGGTGCTCGACCGGGTCAGTTGGCGAGAGAGCACGAGGAGGTCTCTCGAGGAGCGGGAAGCCGACATGGTGAGTGTGTGGTGTGACAGAGAGTGACAGAGTGTTGGCAGAAGTGAGCAGCCAGAAGGCGACGTCGCGATGCAAAAATCAATTTGGAAGGACGACGTGCTGCTTTCTGAAGCAGAGAGAGAGTGCAGATGCAGTTTGTCTTTGCATTTGATGAATTGGATGAATTGGGATATGCTCAAGGTCCAGCCGAATGCCGCTTGGAGACGGGATAAGGAACGCACCCAGAGCATGACGTCCCGTGGAGTCCGGGAAGGGGGGTTCACCCAGCCTCGGCCCGTCGATATCCGCGCTGGGCCGCACTTTCCTGCTCGGCCTGGCCACTCAACCGCGCCTTCTTCATGTTGCTGCTGGCTGGTCGGACCTGCCTACAATCGACTGTGACTGCGACTGCCTCTGTTGACCTGACACAACTTCTTCTTCAATTGCATCCTCCATTGCATCTTCCATTGCATCTTCCATTGCATCTGATTGCATCAATTTCCTTGCCTCCATCTCCAGAGGAAAGAAGAGTAGGGCCCTGCATCGCAACACAACACCATGTCGTCTGCCAGGTTACTGCGTTCCCTGGCGAAGCCCGCCCGCCAGCTCCGCCCCCGCCTCTCTACGCCCACCACCTCCTCCTCCGTCCTCCCCCAGATCCAGACGAGGCATCACTCGCAAAAACACCCCCAGGGCTTCGAGCCCCCGACCGAGGCCGACCTCGCCGAGCTGCGCGAGCGCGTGCAGGACTTCACGCGCCGCGAAATGACCGAGGAGGTCGCCGCCCGCACAGACAAGACCAACGCCTTCCCCAACGACATGTGGCCCAAGCTGGGCGAGGCCGGCTTCCTGGGCATCACGGCCGACGAGGAGGTCGGTGGCCTCGCCATGGGCTACCAGGCCCACTGCGTCGTCATGGAGGAGCTGTCGCGTGCCTCGGGCTCCATCGGCCTCAGCTACGCCGCCCACTCGCAGCTCTGCGTCAACCAGCTGCAGCTCAACGGCAACCCCGAGCAGAAGAAGAAGTACCTGCCCGGCCTCATCGCCGGCACGAGCATCGGCGCCCTCGCCATGTCCGAGTCGGGCGCCGGCAGCGACGTCGTCAGCATGCGCACGACGGCCAAGAAGGTCGACGGCGGCTACCTCATCAACGGCAGCAAGATGTGGATCACAAACGGGCCCGACGCCGACGTCATTGTCGTCTACGCCAAAACCGAGCCCGACGCCGGCTCCAAGGGCATCACCGCCTTCATCGTCGAGACCAAGACGTCCGACGGCTTCAGCTGCCAGCGCAAGCTCGACAAGATGGGCATGCGCGGCAGCAACACGGGCGAGCTCAGCTTCGACGCCGTCTTCGTGCCCGACGACCGCGTCCTCGGCAACCTCAACGGCGGCGTGCGCGTGCTCATGGAGGGCCTCGACCTCGAGCGCCTCGTCCTGTCGGCCGGTCCCCTCGGCATCATGCAGGCCGCCCTCGACGTGACCCTGCCCTTCGCCCACCAGCGCAAGCAGTTTGGACAGCCCATCGCCCACAACCAGCTCGTCCAGGGCAAGCTGGCCGACATGTACACGAAGCTGCAGGCGTCGCGCGCCTACACCTACGCCACGGCCCGCACCGTCGACGAGGCTGGCACCATCCGCACCCAGGACTGCGCCGGCGCCATTCTGTACGCTGCCGAGCGCGCGACCGAGTGCACGCTCGACTGCATCCAGCTGCTCGGTGGCATGGGCTACGTCGAGGAGATGCCGGCGTCGCGGCTGCTGCGAGAGTACGTTTTTTTTTTCTTTTTGTCGCTCGTCTCTTCTCAAACCCCTCTATTATTGTTCCCCTTTCCAACCGGTGCGTGTGACTTGACTGACTCAAACGCGTAGTGCGAAACTGTACGAGATTGGAGCCGGCACGTCAGAGATCCGCCGCATGGTCATCGGGCGGGCATTCAACAAGGAGTACGCCCACCTTGGGGCGTAACTATCCGGGACGGCGCGGGCATGGCATGTTGGGGATCCACGAATGGTCGATGAAGGGGAACGAAATGGCGCATAAGGCACGTAGTAGCGACGCAAGGTGGCGTCGAAATGGGATTTTCTTTTCTCTCTCTGTCTGTCATGGCGGAGTAGAGCGTCTGCCAATACCATACTACACTAGGGGGGTTCCAAAAAGAAATTACAAAGGGCAGACACGGCACCCGGGAATCTGGTCCTTGGGTCGGGTTGGTTGAGTACGGTTTTCCTCAAGCGCGAGCTTACTCTTCACCGCCGCGCGACATGGACTCGCCATGACCACGTCGTGCGTACATCGCGTGGCCGCGGCGACAACAGGAACACGCCACGGAGGGGGAAGGGACGAGAGAGAGCGAGAGAGAAAGGAAGAAAGAAAGAAAGCGCACACGCGTGCATGCTGATGACTCGGGAACAGGGACGTGCGTCTGGGTTTGGGAATTGCATTTCGATTTCGATTTTCTTTGCTCTCTCTCTCTCTCTCCCCCCCCCTGGGGAGAGAGGTGCCTGATACGCTCAAGTCCATCATGGGAGAGATAAAGGGGAAAGCGGGGCGCGTTCATTCCAGTGCGGCCATTGTCTAAGATGGATTGCGGTAGGCGTCGAGACGTCCTTTTAGGATAACCAAAACATTGAATCATGACGCGATCCGTGGGCCTGCGCTTTGCAGTCCCCTACCCATGTCCCTCCCTTCTGTCCGCCTTGTCTCCTAGCCTTGCCCGCTCGTTGCTGCCGCGTGAGCTCCCACACCTTCTCTTGCCCACCACCCCCTTTCACCTCCTCGGTGTCCCACCGACTCACGAGAGGAGCATGCCCTCGGCCGCGGCGGGCTCCTCGACGACGACGGGCTCAAAGGTGAACAGGGCGCCGGCGCCGTGGGGCACGGCGGCGCCGATAGCGTCGAGACGGCTGCGCTTGCGGCCGATGTAGCCCTCGCGGAACGTGTCCATCCTCTGGTTGAGGAAGCGGGCCGAGTCGCGGACGACGCCCTGCTGGAGCTCGCGCTGCAGGCCGGCCGTGTCGTGGGACATGAGGACGGGGAGCAGGCGGGCGGACGGATAGAAGCGGCCGCGGACGTCGGGCTCGCGGAGGACGATGTCGCGGCGGAGGAGGTGCAGACGCCAGCGGGACGCCGGGGCGGCCTTGGCGCGGAAGAGCATCTCCTCGCGGAGAGCGCGCGGCAGCTTCGTCTCCGGCATGTCGGAGGACGGGGTCACGGCGGACGCGGATGGCGGGCCCGGGGCGTCGGTCGATAGCGGCGCGTAGAGGTCGCCCTTGAAGAAGACGGTGCCCGGGTTGTCGGCGGCGGTGCAGATCTCGCGGAGGCCGAGGAGGGCGCCGCCTTGCGCGAGGAGCTCGAGCCAGTCGGGAGCGATATTAATGTCGGGGGAGGCGCGGATGCGGAGCGTGTCGCCGACTTCAATGCGCTCAGCGCCGAGGAAGGCGCCTTGGTAATTGATCTTGCGGCTGTCTGACGAAGTGGGGAGTTTGGAGAAGAGGGAGAAGGACATGGAGATTTTGACGGCGGCGAGCTTGGACGCGTCGAGGAGAAGAGGTTCGCGTTTTGAGGGGTCTGTTTGGAGGGCGGCGATGTGGTCGGCCCAGGGGACCTCGTCGAACGGATGCGTGCCGAGGCTCTGCTGGCTGACGGGCGGTACTGTGAAGGCGAGGAACGGGCGCAGGCCGGTCTCCGGCTTGGCCTGAAGCTGCACATTGTCGAAGAGGGCGTGCGAGATGGGCAGAATGTCAACCTGCTTGGTTTGAGGGTTGGACTTGGCGATGAGGCCGATACGCCAACTCGGGGTCACCGAGTACCAGACCATCTCCCCCGTGCGGAAGAAGAGGGAGGACATGTTTTGGTTGAAGGGGACCAGCGTGTTGACCGTGGGTACGATCGGAACTGGCACCGGTGACTCCGTCTTGAGGGATACGGTCGGCGGAGGTTGAGGCACCGGGGCTGGCGCCGGTGCTGGTGCTTGCACAGGTGCCGGAACATGTGATGCCGGGACATGGACCGGCACCGGCACAGGGGTTTGAATGGGCGTCAATGGCTGTGCAGATGTGGCCACGGGGGGCGGCTGGACCGGTCGCAAAGGTGGTGTGGCCGTCGGCGTGGGTGTTGCGCTCGGGGCCTTGACGTTGGCGATACTCTTCTGGACAGCTTCGCCAGCCAAAGGTGCTGATACTGGTGCCGGCGGCGGTATTGTGCTGGCCACCGCCGCGGCAGGCTCCTGGACACTGAGCTCGTCACCCATGTTGGCGACCCTCGGTGCGATGCAGTGCACGCAGCAACAGTCGTTATGGTCCTTGGAGCCGGAGAGGAGCCACAGCAGATGCACGCCAAACTCCTGGGGGCTCTTGAACAGCTTGGACTTGATAGGGTAGCCGGACACCCAGAGGTGCTTGGACTTTTCGTAGAGCCAGTATCCTCGGGGGAAGTGAATGTACCAAGGTAGACCCTCTGCTCAGTTCTTGTCAGTCGGCCGTGAGAGGGGTCATCAATACAACGAGGACCAAGCCCAGCCTCGGCGTGACGTACCTTGGGGGCTGAGTGATAGCTCTTGCTTGAGGAGCAAGCCCAACTTGACCCGCCACTCGACAAATCTCGGGTCATCCTCTTCCAGTCTGGCCATTTGCGGTTTCGTCCTGGGAGTCTTGTCTGCGAGGGCCGCGCCGGGCTTCTTCGCCGTCTTTGCTGCATCTACCGGCCAGTAGCCCGGGCCTGTGTCCTGGCCATCGCTGTGAGCGATTCTGATGACGTGGAACTCCTGCAAGTCAGACATGGTTTGTGTCTCTCAGCAGTCTGGTGGGTGGTCCGACGCGGGTTGTAGGCCTCAGTTCAGTGGTCGATTTGGCTTCGAGGCGCTGGGAAGCCAGCCGCCTTCTCCAAAGAGGGGACCCCTAGTCCCACGAACGCCCTGGCTGAGTCGGCAGAGATGAAGATGAGACGCCTGTTCGATCTCGAATGAGGAGAAAGCCCTTTGATGGTGACAACCCTCTAGTCGAGGTTGCACTTGCCTCGCTCAAAGCTTTCGTCACTGCTGTCAATGAGATTCGGTGTGAGAACGGGTCGAGATGGCGAGTACGTCGTGGCCCCTGCGAAAGACTTCACCGCGTCAAAACCAGGTCTCAGGCTCTTGAGAACCTGTCAAATACGCCTGTGGTCTCGCTGTTCGGCTGACAAGAAATGCAGGGAGAGGGAGTGAGCTGGGCCTTGTCGGGATGTGAGGATTCAAAGCTCTAAAGCCAGCTCGTGCCATTGGATGGACGTCAGGCCTGCTTGGGATGGGAGAGCTCCTTCTTCGCTAAGGGTGATTAGTCAGCACCAACTATCTAGGTACCTAGGTACCTTGGTTAAGGGTTTAACAGGGTAGGCCGCACTCCAAACCCGCCAGATACAGCATCATCCAGATAGATCCCTAACTTTGGAACCTTATTCACAGCTTATGTCTTAATCGAATGCTCTGAGATTCTTCCTTCTAAATAATCGGCAACACATTCAACCATATGTCTACTTTGATCAGCTTTGAGGGAGTACCAAATATAGTGTATCGGTTCAAAGGGAGCTCACGTTTTGGGAGTGTGGCTTTCTTATGTCACCCTCTTGCTAGGCATTTACCGGGTATTGTAGGTGGTAAGGTGCCATGGCCAACCTTGCGCTGCTGGTGCTAACCTGACTACTCGCGAGGGGTGGGAGCCATCCTGTTGAGCCACACCTTGTATGAAATGGTCCAACTTGCTAGGTCGTCCAGGTAGGTAGTTGTCACTCTTCGAGCTACAGAAACGTGCAGCTTGGCGATCCACATCATCTTCCAGATTATCGTCCAGATTCTCTCGTTCGAGAGCTCGCCTATGCTCATGCCGATCGCACCAATTGCGAAACCACTCCTCATGCAAGGCCCCCTTCCATCGGCTTGCAAGCACAGCGCGTGTATCATACATCCGTCCCAGGGGTATCACATTATGTAACAAAACACTCTCTTCTCCTTTGTTTTTCCCCATCCCACTCTCTACCCACCATGCCGCATTCCCGTCATATTCGAGTCACTGTCATCCTCCCGTTTGGTGCTGACGTGGGAGCCCCTTTCATGGGCCACTCTTCCATGGCACCACCACCATTGCCCTGCCTGTCCACATGGATATCGCTCAGCCTGATCCCCTGCTGATAGGACGGCGCCGGGTATTGCTCCAGGTCCGGGACGTCATTTCGAAATTGCAGCCCAGGAGTAGGCGGCTCCGACTCGAGCCGCTGCGAGCCTCGGTGTCGCAGCCGGAGGCCGTTGCGCAGTGGCTTGGGCACAAAGTGCGACCGCATGTAGTCGCGGAATGTCTTGGTTGTGCCAAATACGACAAACGTCAAGAGACTGGCCGTCACGCCGGGGATGAAGACGAGCAGATCGGACTGCAGTCGGTCCATGCCGAGGTCGGGCTCGGTCCCTATGGATTCGAGGTTATTGCGCCGCGACGCGCTGACCTGGAAGACGATGGTCACCATCTGGAAGGCGCTTTCAATAAGAGTCAGTCTCTGCGAACGAACCGCTGTGGCGCAAGTGGATTCCCCGAACTCACCTCATGGCGAGCGCGGCGATTGTAAAGCGCACGACGAGCCACTTGTCATATATGCTTTGGCGCCGCGGCCGGACGCCGCTCGAGACGGTGACGTTATCGACGGACCCCTCGGATGGCTTGCCGTAGTTCACGTTCCACGACAGCACATTTCTGCGCACGTGAATGTATTTCACGAGAATAATCAGTAATATGATGATACTACCGGAGATACAAGTAAGGACTGCTCGAATGTCAGTATTTCCAAAACACAGGTCGAGCAAAGTGAGTGGGTTGGTCATACGCAGAAAGTCTGCTATCCCGATGAACAAGACCGTATTGGTCTGGATGGCATCAATGCGGAGGAGGCTGAGCATGACAGCCGGTAAAATGACCGCGATGACTTTCGAAACGGGGTTGGCTTTGCCTCTGAAGGATTCAATGAAGCTGAGTTGAAAGATGGACTGTGCGAGTGCGGCGGCCCTAGGTGGTTGTTAACAGGGCGTGTCGAGATCCACGCGACCATCCCAACGTACCAGAAGAACGTCGCCATGGCTGTGACCTGATAGGAGTAGAATTCTGGGAGGTCGCTGTCAGTTACGATGCCGCGTAGTTACAGGAGCTGGAAGACAAACGAATATAGAACAGCACAAGGTCAAGGCCAGCGGACTGCCCCGCGAGGGCCAGCTCGGGGTTTCCCACAATGGCCAGCGCATTCGTATGCTGTTGGGTCTTGATATCACGCCATCGCACAATGGTGTGCAGTTGCTGGGCTATTGAACCAGCAGATCCCAAGCCTGTCGATATGGAAATAAGGGCAACATCTGGGGGGGGGAGGGGCCGATCAGCGACTTGCTCCGGGACCACGGCGTCACCAAGACCCTCCGGCTCGAGAACTCACAGCTTGCTCGTTCGCGATGGACGCAGACCAGCCATACCATCAACACACTGCAGAATAAACAAAAGAACGAGTACACGAGAACGCCAATGGCGACTCCCAGCTTCTCATCGGGAAGCTGTACGGCCATTCTCAGCCCGTTGTCATTTTGCTCGCCTAGACCACGGTGCGATCGATTTGCAGTGTAGCGGGCCGTGTCAAGAAACAAGGGAGCAGAGGAGCGCGCAGGAACGGGGGAGGGGTGAAAAGAGAGGACAAGGTAGATAATAGAGGAGATCGCAGATGCTTAAGATCTCCGCAAGGGTGCTTGCGTGGAACTACGGGGTGCATCCACAACCAGGCTCACCACGGACGTCCTCGAGTCGAGACCGGAACATGGATAGCAAGGTAGTCCTGGTACGAGATCTGCGGCGCATAATGTTTGCTCAGAAGCTGGGGCCAGAAAATTTGACGATCGGGGGGGGGGAGGGCGGGCGGATGATTCCAGATGGATGGTGAGGCGGGAAATTTTCGCAACCCCCCCCTCGCCAGTAGTGAGACCACTCGAGTCGACCAAGACAAACATCGCGAATCGGAATGCAGACCTGCTGAGACCAAGTTTGCCATGTCCTCGTCAGTTCCCCCAGATCCCCGTCGATGCTGAGTCGATAGTCTCTGACGCGGCGCCTTTCTTCCCACCGCGAACGGGTTGGGCGGGTCTGGTGAGAAATCACCGGTCCAACAAGCTCAAGGTGCGTCCTGCAGGTGGTGGTGCACTTCTGAGGCTACCAGCTGAAACGATGCCTGTCACGACCGGAAAGCTGGCCCCCTGGATGAGATGACAAGCGACTAGCTGGGCGCTAGATCTTATTGGTGATCTCCCACGGATCTTTCTTACCAAAAGGGCCCAGCCGAACGAGCGCCGCAACCGTGTTGGTCATGGTGGTGTGGCATGGAGAGTGCCGTTGGAGCGTTTTTTTCTTAGTGCACATTTTAGCTGCCTGTCGCACGGCGACAGCGTCCGAGCGAAAGCATGTCGGGTGCTCGACACGCGTGGTCATAGGCCGAACCGTGGCGGGCCCGGCGGGCATCGGGGTCCCTTACGTGAAACTGGCCACATGGCTTTTCGTGGGTAGCCCGATGATTTATTTTGGCCACTGCCTTCAACGGGAGTCGTCAATCCGGATGGAGACCATCAATCGCACACGACACACGAAACGATGCTTGGGCCTGTTGTCCATGTGGCATAGCAGGCTTCTCGAAGTCGTCGGGGTCGAGAAATGTGTGGCCGACTTGGGTATCAAGTAACGATGGATGGAAACATGAAAAAGACCAGACGACAGGCAAGTTGGTGCGGTGGTATACGATCGTGTCCCGAAGACCTGGATCCGAGGTTGCAATCGACCCGATCTGCCCTTGTCGCCTGGCATGTCTTTGACCCTCATTTCGGATGGACAGCCGCAGGCGAAAACGACGCCACCTCAGCGCATCAGCAATTTGTCATCTGAGCCGGAACGGTTTCTTCCTTTCTTTCTTGAATTTCGGTCACTGTTGGGAGACATGTTCAACGTTGGGGCATTCAAAGAGGCGACGAATGCGTAGAGGATCCAGGTGGATGTGGACAGGAGAAAAATAATAAATGGATCAAGCAGCTTTGGTCCCGGACGATGGTTGTGTTTCGGCCATGCACTGCCACAGCCAAGGGCCCGAGATGTGGCACAGCTGCAACAAGACCTCTGACGCGTCTCGTCGCGTGCCCTGCAACGCTTGCTGCCTCTGATGTACTCTGAGCTTGAACAACCCCACCAATCCAGCTGCGAGCCTCGGAGACAGCTCCCAACCCAAACCACAGTCCTGGATGAACATCCCTCGTGATCCATACTTCGACATCCGCCGAGGCATCCGACACCGTCTCGCCCAACCATGGCGAACGTCGCACCACACTACCGCGACGGCAACCGGGCCTTCCTCCAGGCCTTCATGGCCCGAGGCGCCCTGACGTTCGAGGACGCCCGACCGATTTTGGCGGCCATCTTCTCGGCCGACGAGAACCAGCTGGTGACGGAGGACAAGGTCACACGTCAAGACTTTGACTCGTACGTGGCCGCCGCCACGGAAGCGATATCCTTCTTCGACTACGAGATCCGCAGCTCGGTGCACCAGGCGACGAGCAAACGAGTCTTTGCGCTCGTCAACACAACGTCGGACCCCATGACGCAGCTCGCGACGACGTACGCGCCGGACGAGTTGAGCTTCGTCAAGCGCGTGCTGGACGCCATGTTCGACACGTACAACACGCCGCGCATGGAGTGCATGTGCCTCGACAGCATGCAGGTCATCAAGCTGGCACGACCGCCGAAACCCCGCCATGACAATCCCAGCCATCACGAGGAAGCAGAGGAGGAGAACGGAGACGGCGGGGGGGCCACGCAGGCGCAGACGCAGACGCAGGCGCCCACGGACAAGGGCCTCAAGCACAGCGAGGTCGAGGTCATGGCGGCCAAGCTCGTCAGCGAGGGGTGGCTCGAGAAGTCGCGCGAAGGGTTCTACAGCCTAAGCCCGCGCGCGCTCATGGAGCTCCGGACGTGGCTCGTCGAGTCGTTCAACGACGCCGAGGCGGCGGCCGGGGACTGGCAGCGCATCAAATTTTGCGAGGCGTGCAAGGACATCATCACGCAGGGGCAGCGGTGCGCGGCGCGGGATTGCAACATGCGGCTGCACGACATGTGCGGAGACGCGTACTGGCGGGCGCGGCGGGAGAAGAAGTGCCCGCGATGCGCGACGGCCTGGACGGGGGAGCACTTTGTTGGCGAGAGGGCGATCACGAGCAAGGAGGCCTACCAGAGGGGACGCAGGCGGAGCGGGCACCAGAGGGCGAGCGCCGTGGACGAAGTCATGAGGGAGGAGGGCGATGCCAGCAGTCAGGAGGATGGTGAGGGTGAGGAGGATGACGAGCAATGAGCTTCCGTGAAACGAGATGATACCACGGGACATTTGGAGTTGGAGAGCGAAGAAGCAGTCGAACACACGAGATACCCCCCCCCCCAAAACCAACGAGCTATTTTCCCGGTCGACAGTCAACCTGTTGCATTTGCCCCTGGTTGGACCCTGATCATCCGCCGTGCGTGCACAGCCACCGTCGGTATGTCACGGTGCAAGAGTGGCACTTGAAAATCACGAGGCGAGTAGAGCGAATGAGAGGTAGCCAACCTCTGGGCCCAGCTTCCAATGCATTCTGCGCGGCCTCCCAGAAGGGGCCAGACGGGGCGATCGGCGCTGCTGGTACTGGCCTCGCCTGGGCTCTTGGGGGCGAGACGTGCCAAAAGTGCTCGTTCCATACATTTTGCAGGTGGTAGGTGGCTGGCGATCAGCACAGCAGGGAAGGGTTCCCACCGCTGGGGCTCGGTACTTGCTCCGGGGCGGGGCCACAGCTGGCACAGCGCTGTTCACTCGCTCCGGCGGCTGGCTGGCCGAACCCTGAAACTGCGGTACCTCTGTTCGCGCGGCACCAGCACCACCTCTTCATGTACCTCCGAGCCGCCTGGAGCTTGCCGAGCTCGCCCAGGGAGGGCGCCAACAGCAGTGGTCGAATGACATCACGCAGCTTCAGGGTGGCTGCGCACGCTTCCAGGTTCGCCCGCGTCCGTCTACCTTGCGCCTGCCCAATGGCTTGCGTCTTGCTCGCTTTCTTCCATCAACTGCCAGCGACGCCCTGAACAGACGTCAGACATACAGGGCACAGGGGCGAGACAAGCGTTTAGCCAGAAGTGCTCTCTTTTCTTCTCTTCTTCTGCTGCATGCGAGAGAGGGAACCGAAACAAACCATCGCCATCTGCTGTTTCTTTATATTGAACAAGCGACCCCTCCTCGCCACTACCCATTCTCTCCGTCTCTCTCCCACCGCAAACAACACATACAGCCACCCACACACTTCCCATCGGCATTTGCCCTTCGCCCATCGCCACACCGCCGCGATGCTCGAATACATCAGCTACAAAAAGTACAAGAAGTACAAGACAGATAAAGACGCCAAGGATGCAGGGGCCGCAGAGCATGAGCATCAGAATCAGAGCAGCTCGAGGCCATCGGCCTCCCGCACCAACTCTCGCTCACAGCTGGCGCAGGAGCCTGGTCCCATTCTCGACAAGGACGACGAGGCCTTCTTCGCTTCCATTCTGAACTCGGACGAATACGACGGCCCGGCACCGCCTCTACCGCCACGCACCGCCAGCACGTCCGATGTGAACTGGGACTCCTCCGACGAGTCGACCATTCGCGGCATCCAGAACGCCAAGGCGGCGCCGGCACCGCTGCCGACCAAAGAGAAGGAGAAGGAGAAGAAGTCGCACAACCCCATCTCCTTCCTGCTCCACCGCAAGGACAAAGACAAGGACAAGCAGCTGGCCGTCGTCGAGCCGAAGAAGGTCGACTCGTCCGAGGAGGCCCGCGAGCGCGACGACCTCTCCCGCGTCCTCGACGACCTCAACCTCGGCGCCCAGAACAACAAGGCCTTTGCCCTGTCGGCCGAGTCGAACGAGCTCGTCCGCAAGTTCACCCTCGTGCTGAAGGACCTCGTCAACGGCGTGCCCACGGCCGTCGACGACCTCAAGGCCCTCGTCGACGACCGCGACGGCACCCTCAAGAAGAACTACGACAAGCTCCCCAGCAGCATGAAGAAGCTCGTCGCCGGCCTCCCCGACAAGGTCACCAAGCAGATGGGGCCCGAGATGATGGCCGCCGCCGCCGAGAGCCAGGGCATCAAGCGCGACCCCAAGGCCGACAGCGCGGACATGAAGAGCGCCGCCAAGAGCCTGCTCATGCCCAAGAGCCTCAACGACCTCGTCACCAAGCCCGGCGCCATCATCGGCATGCTCAAGGCCATTGTCAACTTTTTGAAGCTGCGCTGGCCCGCCTTTATCGGCCTCAACGTTGTCTGGAGCGTGGCCATTTTCCGTACGTCGTCCCCGTTGCGCCCCCTGGTGTATGAGACGAATGCTCTCGTTGATGAGACGAATGCTAACCTGCAATCCAGTCCTCCTTCTCGTGCTCTGGTACTGCCACAAGCGCGGCCGCGAGGTCCGCCTCGAGCGCGAGAACTCGGAGCGCAACGGGCCCCCCATCGACGGTGCCGCCCGCGTCGAGGAGCTGCCCGACGACCCCATGCTGCCGGCCCCCGTGTCGCGTGCCTCGTCCTACCGCAGCTCCAGCAGCCGCAGCCACCACCGCGACCGCGAGAGCCACGGCCACGGCCGCCGGTCGCGCGACTCGCGCAGCGGCAGGGAGTCGAGGAGCGGGCGCGTGTCGCCGCTGAGCGAGGTCGACCCTGCCCTTGAGAGCCCTCGTCGCAGGCGGACGCACAGGTGATTTGTTGGCTTGCCAATCATGTGAGGTGCGAGAGGGGGTGGCATAGACTTGGATGAACGGATGCGATGGATTTGGATGAAAATGACCCCAGGATACCCCAAATGTTCTCTTAATACATAGTTTTGATGAATTGCCACGACAGTCATGAAGTTTCAAAAGAGCATCAGTGCCCCATTTTGTCCGCCGTCCGTTCATGCCTCATGGTATATATTGTGTCCCAAAACAACAAGCAAGCGACGTACTGCATCACCTTGACCACCAACACCAAACGCCAGCCCAGGGTATCTCTCTCTATCACAAGAAAAAAAAAAGCCAAGCAGTCACACACTGCCGACAAGCCCCTCAATCATCCTGCACGACCTCCTTGATCTCCTCCTGGTCAGGCAGGCCGACGTCGTTGCCGCCCTTGCGCTCGTCCTTGGCGTGATCGAGAACCTGTCCGCCGTCCTGCATCCAAAAGTCCACCTCGTCAATAATGTCGTAAACGACGTCCTCGGCAATCTGCTCCGTATAGCGGTCGGACACGGGCAGAAGCGGGGCCTGCACGTCATCGACGCCCCCCATGGCCATGTCTTCTTGGCCAGGGCTGGCGGCAGGGGGACACCAAAAGTCGGGTCCAAAGTTGACCTCGGCGGCGCCGCCGCGGAAAACGCTGACGGCGGGGTAGTACCCCAGCATGCCGTCGTCGAAGCCCTCGCGCGCGCCGGGGGCGGCGAGTGGCTTGGAGGCTGGCGGCAGGAAGGCGAGGAGGTCCTCAAAGGCGGTGCCCATGGGCACGCCGTTCTTGTACACCTTGATGTGGGACCCCGGCAGAGTGCGCAGGGCGGGTAGGGCGTGGACGGGGTTGGGCTGCTCGGCCGAGTCGGGGTTGACGACAGGGTTGGGGCTCATGAGGTCCTCGAGCTCTTTACACGTGTGGTAGTCGATCTGCTCGAAATAGATGTGGGCCTTGAAGCGGATGGGGATGCGGTCGCGCACAATGTTCGGGGCCTCGCTGGTTCCGCCGTGGGGGTCGCAGGAAGCGGACGTGTCGAGGTCGACGGCGGGGTTGTAGCGACCTGTGACGACCTTGCGGTGGAGGTGCTCGGAGGGCAGCTGAATCTCAAGTCCGATGACGTCGCCCTCTTGAATGTCCTCGCCGGCAGGAAAGAAGTCCTTGGGCCGGGACATGTAGACCTTCTGACCGGCCTTGTCGCGGATGCCGTAGCTATAGGCATCGAAACCGACAGGCGCGTCGACGGCGGCCTCGCGACGCGCGAACCCCATGCGAACGTGGCCGTTGGACTCGGGGTCACCAGGCCCGGGGTCCTTGACGATGCCTCTGTTGATCTTGACCTCGTAGTAGAAGCGGCCCTGGCGGATGGCGACATTGGCGCGGGTCATACGAAAGCCCTTGTGAGTGGTGATGTGGCGCCCGGACTGGTCGAAGAACATGTGGGTGGCCGAGTCCTCAAAGCTCATGTGAGGCCCATGAGGTAAGGGCTCGGTCTGGCGGTAGTAGAGGGACGAGGGAAAGGCGGGATCGGCGATGCAGTGTGTGTAGTGGTAGCTCTTCTTGTTGTAGACACTAGGCAGTCAGAGTCAGGCGCTGGGGTCGCGTTTGGAGCAGGAGCGACGTACTGGTCAGAGGTCTCGAAGAAAGCAATCTTGCCCTGTCGGTCGAGGGAGGGTACTTCGTGGTGGGAGATGAAGACGGGACCACGGGGCGGGTCGAAGTCGGTCTGCTTCGCCGCCGGCAGCTTATACCGCAGCGGGCCAGACTCGGAGGACGAGGGCTCTTCCTTGTCCCGAGAATTGGCATTTTTACTCTTGCTCTTGGGGTCAGGGGTGCCGCGGTTGCTGTCGCCGCCAAAGGTGACCTTGGACTCGCGCTTCTTGTACGACTCCTTCTTGGCCCGCTTGTCGCGCGTGTAGGCAGGCATGTCATCTGTGGACTGTGCCTGTGGCGTTGATCGTACGTCTGGGTTCAGGGGCGATGGGACTGAGGGAGCATGGTCCTCCTCGATTGCTCGTTTCTGGGGAATGAACACTGCCGTGGTCGTCGCCGTTGTCGCAGGAGCGAAGGAGGTGCTGGGGGTCGAATCCCGCGGAGGCGTGTCTGCGTCAGCCATGGCGAAGTGGAAGAACAGAAACGAACAGAATGAACCAGATGAAAGTCAATCAGCGAAGCAACAAAAGAGGTGCACCAGGCAGGTAAAAGGGGGTTTGCGTGGGTGGGTGATGTGAAAGGTTGACAGTGAGAAGGAAAGATTACGGAATTGTCGCCGAGTCAGAATTGACGAGCTCCAGGGTAAAGGTACCTACCTAGGTAGGTAGGTAAGGGTAGGAAGCTGGGCTAGTCACGGTCAGGGCAGCGCCTGCTCCCCGCGTGGCGAGCGCGTCCGAGCTGGACGTGTCGTCACAGGGCCCTTCGACAGGGGTAGCTGCGCTAACCTCTCCCCTGGAGCTGCCAGCACTGCTCCGTGTTGGTGGCCTGCCGTATCTTCCCCTCACAATCGGCAGTGGTACCTCCTTCGGTAGCCGTGTCGGATACATCGATTGAAGCGTCTTGCAGGTCGGGCTGCTCGTTCAGGCTCGCCACCTTTTGGAGCACTGCTAGGTCTATCAAGCTTCGTGGAACAAGAATGTGCAGGGTGAAGTGAAAAAAGCGTCTACAGACCTTCAGGTCCATAGTTCAATAAGCCTTGTGTGCTCAAGAGCATGGGCCCAGGCACTGCAGTTGAGCCTGCCTTCTTCACTACGGCACCATCATAACTACGGCCGGTGGTCTGGATCATGACAATAAACGCTGGTGTATTCATCCGACGCTGAATGAAAAGAGACTTGTCTTGCTCGTCCGAGCCAGCTCTATCGCTGTCAATGTCCGTCTATCCGGATCCTCCAACGCCGCCCTATGGGGTCCCCATGACTCTAGTTCTCTGGGTCCTACACATTGTACAGAAAATGCTCTCGTTGTTGTACATGGATGCTCTCTCGCTCTCTCGCTCTGACGCTCTGCCCCGTTGCGCACCCAGCCTTTTGTTCGTATCGCGCGCCGCTACCCCCTTCACATGGGCGCTGCCTTGTCCTCGTCTTGCGGGTCCCAGATCGACAACTCCCGCAGTAACCTCTGGTACAAGAACAGCATGCACCCGCTCTGGATAAACGTCCACACGCCGCGGGGACCCACGCCCCGGAACCAGCCCCCGAGGCCCTCGGTCTGGTAAATGACCCTGAGACCCTTGAGCACAGACATGGTCTTCAGGTTGACGGCGCCGAGGCGCGGCGTGTGCGTCGACGGCGAAGACGTCGAGATGTTGCGCTTCTGAGGATGTGACGCGTGCGCCGTCTTGTTCGTCGCCGCGCTGCTCGCCGCCGCCGCCGCCGCCTCGGGCGGAATGTGCACCTGCGTCTGCAGCCTCGTCTTGACGACGTCGAGCGGACACGTCACTATGCCCGCGAGACCGCCGGCTAGGCCGCCCGTCAGCAGCTCGAGCGGCACGCCGACCTCGCGGCTTCCCTTGTAGGCGCGCGCCCAGGCGTGGAACTGCTCCCAGAACATGAGCTGCAGCGCGGAGAAGGGCAGGTCACGGTACAGCGTCGCCTTGTAGCCGTGGAAGAGCGCCTTGGGGCCCTCCTGCCGGACAATCGTGCGCACGGCGTCCGTCGTGCCGCGGTAGTTGTAGCCCGAGCGGAAATACGGATTGTTGTAGCGCCCTTGGAGCTGCAGCCGCGTCTTGAGCACCTCGGAGGGGACATAGACGATGGACGACGCCAGGTCGCCGAGGAATCCTATCGTCAGAGAGTCAGCACAAAGCGTCTGGAAAGGGGAAGAGACGCAGATTGAGAGCAGAGATTCATTCTGACGTACCGGCCGAAAAATAGGCGAGGTGGTGCGGCACCCCGCCATCGATCAACACGCGCTTGCTCCATTCATACGTGCCGAAGAAGAGCATAGTACCCGGAAAGGAGCCGCCGAGGGCGGGCTTCCACCCGCCGTACAGGCCTCTGCGCACGCCCTCCTGCCGCCATATCGTGTAGTAGGATGTGGTGAGGCTGTTGTACTTGGGGGGCACGTGTGGGTCGCCCTGCTGGCGCGTCTTGACGGTGTCGAGGGAGTGCATGAGCATGTCGCCTGTCGAGCCGCCTATGCCGCCGGCGATCATGGCGTGCAGGTAGGGAGGGCGCGCCTCCTCGCCGAGGTCGGCATCTTGGTCGGTGGCGGTGTTGCTCATGGCCTGTGCCTGGGCCTGGGCCTGGGTTGAGAGCGGTGACTGGTGGTGAGCGGCGTCTGGGGTGGTGGGGGTGCCGCGGTATCCAAGATCGGTGAGGAGGTCTGCGCCGGCCGCATGTCGATCGTCAAGAGGAGCCGGTGAGGAGGGCGTCGTGGGCGAGAAGAGACCAGTGATGCGGTCAGCGAGGGACATCGAGGTCGCCCAGGAGATGCGACGCCGAGGATCAACAGCTGGTCGACCGCCGCCGTCGAAAGGAGCGAGATGACTACTCGACGGTCGATTCGGAAAGCAGGAAGATGAAGATGGACGGTGGTCGATGTGGTGAGAGGGACGTTCCGAAGCCGAAGGGAAAATGCGTTGGACAAGCCGGTCGTGATGTCGCCAAGAGGCCTCCCCGGTAGTGATGGTAGCGGGCTGACGTTGCGGGAAGCAAAACTCGGCGCTGAGACGGAGATGCTACGCTGTTGCGGATGCGGCTTTGCTCTGCTCTGCTTGACTGCTTGATAAGACGCGGACAGTCCAAGGCAGGTTGAAAATTGCTGCAGGGGTCCAATTCCAGGCTCCATGCCGCGAGTGAGGGTGAGGTCAGCGTCCGCCTCTCCGCACTAGGCCGCCCTTGGCGTCATAGGCCCACAGCCTGCGGTGTCCTGTTGTCCCCAAGTGGAAGCATCCTTGCTTAGGTAGAGCACCGTATTTACGAAGACATGTCGTGCCACTGCCGCAGACGACGATTTGTACGCAATTGAAAGTAGCTGACGATATGACGGATGGAGCTTGTCTTCTAGACGAGTTATAAACCATGCACTCCCAGGGACACAGATTTGTAAACCCACGAAGTCCACTTTGATAGCTTCTGTCCAGGCTCACCGACTGCTACCTCTCTCGACCCTTGTGTTCCCACCATCGTATCGGCCCAAACTTCTTCAACGGATACAAAAAATGAGTCACCTTGCCCGTCACTAAGCTCATCGGCACCGGTCCATACGTGTTGCTGTCGATCGTCTTGTCCCCATCGCCCTCCACCCAGATATGTCCCTGTGGCACCCGTGCCACTGGCTCCGGATACGGCGCCTTTGTCCTGACGACGTCACCCTCCACCGCGATGATTCTCTTGATAGAGATGGCCTCTGGGTTGTTGGGACTCCTGTGACCACGTCAGCCACAACGTGCCCGGCGCCTCCTCTGAGCCCGGCACCGCTCGCTCACCTGAATGTCACAATCATGCCGCGCTCGAGGTCATACTGAGGCCACCACTTCCACGTGAGGACCTTGTCCTGTAACAGGCTGCTGTTGTAGTCCTCGTTGAAGAAGGGATACATGGATGGTCCGTGGACGTTGTGTATCTCGGCAACGTAATTGTTGAACATGATGACCACGGGGATCCACGTCGCGTACCCGAGCAGGCGTTTGGAAAAGTCTGTGAGAAACGGCCGTGCCGTGAGCCATCGGAGGCGTGCGCTCATGGCGAGCTGCTGCTGCTGCTGCAGATGGAGCTTCTGTCGCCCCTGCCCTTCTGCACAATGATGAAAACCGGGCTGCTAAGTTTCGATCTGGAGTTCGTCATGGGTGAGGTGAGCGAGCTGGGCTCGGATGCGTTACACTACTCCTGGCTCGAAAGGGCTCCTATTTCTTATCTTATCGCACCTAGCTTGTCGCGCTCTCATACTCACAGCCACGTCTCCATGTCGCACCACGAGCAAGTCAAGTCTCTCATGTCCCGGCACGCCATGCTCATCTTTCATTTCATAAAGTACACTGTGTAGAGTTTCATTGTATTCATCAACCCAAATCAGCACTACTTGCAGTGCCCCCCGCGACAATGCTTTTGACGCCCCCGAGACTCCTCTGGAAGGGTGGGCGCCGGGGGCTGGCAGCCTACCAGCCCCAACCCCGGACCCCAAGCCCTGCCCCTGACCCCGACCCTCGCTTTATGTCGAGTAGCCCGTCTACGCGGCATCTAGCATCTATGCTCTCATGTCCGCGCCAAGTCAGATCTCACCCTCCCCCCCCCCCCCCCCCCGCTTCTGACTGAACTCCGTGTGCTCGGCGATCGGGCATGACGGGCCGGACATTTTTCAAATGTTTTCGTGGAGGTCGTCCCGAGCCGTCGCCGAATGATCGACCGTCATCTCCTCAAACAGTGTCGGGGATGTCATCGTCGCTGCCGCTGACGCTCTCGTCACCGCTGACCTCAGCGTTCTCACGCTCGCGCTTCTCCATCAACGCCTGCAGCTCTGCGTCATCGCTCTCCGTGACGGCCTTGGGCTCCATCTTGACGATCAATTGCCCTCCGGCCGCCTCGATGCTCGTCCTAATGTCAACAATGGCCTCCTCCAGGCGAGTGATGCCGTGGCTCTTGTCGAGGCACGTGCTGGTGAGGACGTAGAGAGGGGGCGACACCAGCTTGACCTTGACCTGGGTCTCGTCCGTGTTCCTCGACTCGGCGGTCCGCAGCGCAGTCTTGACGGCATCGATACCGTCGTAACCGAAGCAGGTGACTTCGACGTCGGCACGGACCTTGGTGGGCTGGGGTGTGAGGCGCTTTCCAATGTACGACTTGAGCTCCTCCGCAACCGCCTCCGAGGGAAAGGTGACGTCCTGCCAAACATCGGGGTTGCTACATGTCTCGTCAGCACAAACACGACCTTGTCCAAAAGCAGTTCTCTTGCAAGCCTTACGTGATGGAAAGCTTGAAGGCGTCGATCGCGTGGCCGAACTTCTTGTTGAGCGGCCATGCTATGCTCTCGTACAGGGAGTCGATGGGAGTCAGGGTCTTCTCGGCGACGTGGCGCATGATGGAGTGGACCATCTTGCCTTTGTTGTAACGCTCCTCGCACTTGATGATATCCTCGGGGGACACACGACGCTTGCTGAGATCGATATAACCCTTCTCCTTGTCGACACGAAGCACGACGACAACCTCGTTGCGGCCGACGCGAATAAGCTTCTGGATAGACCTGATACGACGTCTCGAAAGCTCGGAAAGCAGAATCATGCCGTCAATGTTGTCGTACTCGAGTAGCTTGACGTAAGCACCCATCTCGGCAATCTAGAAATTCATGTCAGACATGTCAACAACCTCTTGGAGAACGCATCGCATCTCGAAACATGATTGGGTGGAGAGCATGCAGAGCTCGGCGGTAGCAAACGGACCTGCTTGACGTTGACCCTGGAGGAGCCATGTTAGCATGAGGCCTTTGACTTGAGATGGTGTTCCGGAACAAAACATACATGACGAACTCGTCAATCTCGGGATACTTGTTTTCGAAGTATCGAAAGTGGGAGTAGTTTGGCTCCGACATGGTGGCGGTTATGCGCGCGTTCGCGACTTTCGGCCTGACTGAGTGTGTGGTGTTGAAGGAGGGAGGATATGGGGCAAGGCGGGGTGAAGTGGCCGCTTGCTTTCGGGTGTAGCTCGATCGTCTTCGGGGTGGGTTTCCGTCGTCGTTCGTGGTCGAAATGGAATGATCGTAGAGTTGAAAGAAACGGCAACGGAGAGGTTTGACGTTTTCAAGTCGCGGATGCCGAGCGGGTTCGGAATTCAGATCAGACAGACAATCGTAGCGTCGGGGAGGCAGGAGTCACAATTTTGGCCGCTCGTCGAAGAAATTGCGGCAGTGATGGTGGGGTGAGGCTTGGTGTGGCTGATGCCCCCAGGTATGGCGGCAACAGCCGGCAACAGCCCGCCAAAGCTTGCGCACGCTGAATGGCAGGCGATCAGAACAATAAGTCGTTATCGCCACGTGACCGATACCCCTCCACATCTTGTCGCAGTGCAGTCACCCAAGACTGACAGAAGCATGGGGCATTTTCAGTGCTGTGAGCTCCAGGGCCGGAGCTAAGTAAACAAAAGCTTCCACGTCGGTGAACAAGCATCACGAGTATCCCCACCTCAGCAACCTGATCATGGCGCCCGGTAGGTTCTCTTCACAACTGTCTAACGTGATCACTTGGCCGTACGGTAGCTAACAGCGGTCATAGCAACTCAATTCGAGCTGGCGCAACCGCCCAACGATGCCGTCTCGTCCCTCTCTTATGCGCCTCAGAACTCGACAAGGCTCCTGGTTTCGTCGTGGGACAAGAACGTCTACCTCTACGACACCCACTCCGGCACCGAAGAGGCGCAGGGCACGCAGATCAGCACATTCGAACACCGCGCACCAGTGCTAGATGTCTGCTTCGGAGCCACCGACAACGAGGCGTACAGTGCATGCCTGGACTGGCAAGCCTACAGGTACGAGTGGCCCCCGTTCTGCCATGCGTGACGGCAAGACTGACCCTTCGCCCGTAGGATCGACCTTGAGACAGGCGAAAAGACATCAATCGCTAAACACAGCGCGCCAGTACGATGTGTGGTCTACAGTCCCGAGCAATGTAGGCGGGCGCTCTTCTCTCGTGCTACCAAGTCATCAAGCTAACACCAGCTAGCCCTCCTCATCACCGCCTCCTGGGACCAGACTCTTCAAATTCACAACACGAAAGACCCCTCAGCGCCCAACCTCACCATCTCCCTCCCTGGCAAGCCCCACGCTCTCAGCGCTAGTCCTTCTAAGCTCGTTGTCGCCATGACCGCTCGCCTCGTCCACATCTACGACCTCACCCCCATCCCCGCCCTGTTCAGTGCCTCTTCTCCCCCCGACATCAAGCCTTGGCAGCAGCGCGAGTCCTCTCTCAAGTTTCTCACTCGCGCCGTATCCTGCATGCCCAATGACGCTGGCTACGCCACCTCCAGTATCGAAGGCCGTGTCGCCGTCGAGTGGTTCGAGGACTCCCCCGAGTCCCAGGCCCGCAAGTACGCATTCAAGTGTCATAGACAAGCCGCCCCTGCCGACGAGAATGGCGCCGGTGCCGGCGATATTGTCTATCCGGTGAACGCTCTTGCTTTCCACCCCGTGTATGGCACCTTCGCCTCCGGAGGCGGCGACGGCACTGTCGCGCTATGGGACGCCGAAGCCAAGCGACGTATGAAGCAGTACCAGAAGTTCCCTGACAGCGTCGCTGCCTTGGCTTTTTCCGCTGATGGCAAGTACCTCGCCATCGGCGTCTGCCCGGGCTTCGAGACGGGGATGGAGGATTACACTGGCGAGGGCAAGGCCAAGGTGTTGGTCAGGGAGCTCGGTGACGCGGAAGCCAAGGGTAAGGGCGCGAAATGAGGGGTGAAGAAACGGGATTCTGTCGCACAGCTGGCGCAAGGCGTTAGGTGGATCGGGAAAGACTGTTTCACAGAAGCAGACGCGGGAGGTCAAAAGCTCCGGTACTTGTTGATACCATATACAGGCAAGTGAAAGATTAACTCATGATGTTTCATGCTGTCTCAAACTCGCGAAAAGGACCAACATGTTGTAGTGGCTTTTGACATGTCCATATGTGTGTCCTCCCCAGCGAATTCTGACGTGAAAAGCAACATCTTGAGTTCCTGGCACCATGAATCTTAAGCAGAGCACAGACGACGTTCTATCACCATATCCGCCCTCTTCTACTTGACGTCATAAAGCATGCTTGCGACACGTTGTTCGCTGTGGTAACGTCTGCCATGGACTTCTCCTCTGGATCTTCTGGCCGAACGAACAGTGTTCTTGCAACTTACCGATCTTGCCAGTCGACCCAGTATTCGAATACTCTCACTTGCAGTGCCCTCTCTCTCGGGGAATAACTTTATATTGCGGTCCCGATTATGTCGTGCGTTCCGCATCGGAGAGTGCGTGATTCGTTCAGGGGTGGCCGCAATTGTAGAGTCAAAAGATGCAATCTGTGCAGACGCTTGGCTATCCGTCAACGCTAAGACCCGCCCCGTAGTACTGCTGGCCCGTGTTTGAACGCTTGGGACCAGATCCTCATCTTCGTTGTAGATTGTAAGTTGTTCTTCTTCTTGCCATTTGCCGGTGGACGCCAGATTCGATGCGAAGTCCACCGCTCCCGAGCGACCATCCTCTGAATCCTCCGTGTCTCGACTGCTCTGAGATGTCGAGTCTGACATTGACTCGTCTTGACTGAGGGACACTGCTTCCTCGTCTTCCTCAGTTTCGTGGCCAGGCGTCGCATACCGGAATGCCCGCACCATCTTAAGATCTCCTGTCAACGTGCGACCAAATTGCAGAGGGCTTCGGCGTCGAGGTAGGTTTCTTCTGAAAGAACGGAAGACAGTCGACCCCTGTCTTGAAGACGGTCTTTTCTCGAATGAAGGTTTCTTCAGAGGTTTGTCACTTCCGGGAGTCATATTCGCGTCCCTGTCAATCATCTCTACTACATTCGAGTGTTCTACGCTAAAGCCACCCTGTCTTGGTCCACATATCTCTTGGTTTGTCGCAAGGAGATCCGGGTCGATCTCGGGCATTCTGGGCTGCCGCTTGAGTCTGGCCAAGGTTGTTCGAGGCGCAGTAGTAATCGCAAGTTGACCCATGCCGCGTATGACGAGCTGCTTCCGTCGCTTGAGACGAAGTTGCTTTCTTGTCGGGACAGATTC